GGGCGCGGGGCGGGCGGCGTTTCGGGGGGCGCAGGCGGCTGGCGGAGCTTCGGGAGGCGGGGGGTCCGTGCGGGTCCCGCGGGGGGTAGCAGCCGGCAGAGCGGCGGAGTGGCGCTGAGGTGGGTGACTCAGGAGCGGCATTACACTCCCCGGAGTGAGGTGGGACCTTCCCTTGAGCTGTCCTGTGTTGGCTGTGCCGTTACAGGCCCGGGGGGGTTCGCTGGGCGCTGCCGGTGTTAATGGATTCCTGTCTGTCTGTGTGAGTGAAGGGGGGGGCAGCCCCTGCCCCGCGTCCCTCAGCGGTGCCGCCTTCTTTTTTGGGGAAAACCCCCAAACCCTCGGAGCTGGTGTCTGTCCGGCCGTAGGGCTGCCCCGTCCGGAGTGCCTGTGGCCTTTAATGCTTCCCATATGTTGTACAATAAAAGAATGAGGAGAAGGAATATCTAACCCTCAATGGTGGTGTTTAAACACTGAGAGATTTTTTTAAAATATTTTACTTTAAGAACTCTCTTTCTGAACTACAGTTCCAGTAGATTTGTGTGCCAGAGCCTTCTCCCAGCATAGGAACTGCTGTTCCCACTTATTTATAGGAAGATGGAGAAACATTACACGGAGCTTATGAAGAGTCTGGAACAAAAGCAGAATTCCATAGGTTTTTTTATAATTTATACCCACTACTGTCTCTCCGGTTCAAACACCTTTGAATTTGTTAGTTATTGGTGAGATGATTGGCTAGTTGGGCACTTTGTATATTTTGTTGACTACTGTAGGGTTCTTTGCCTTGGAAGAGGGTCGTTAACCCTTCCCTCACAGATTTTTGGCCTGGTTTCGGAAGGCTGAGTCTCGATGATGCAGATTTACACGCCCCAGCTGTGGATCCTGTTAGTGCTGCTCTGTTGTGAGGCTGTGCTGCAGGGAACAGCTGCCCTCCAGGGAGTTCAGGGGTGCTCTCCAATATATGACAATTCTGTATTTGTTAACCCCTTCGCTCAGACTTCTCTTTCTGTTTAACAGGAACGTAAAGGGACAGCAAAAGTTGATTTCCTGAAGAAAATTGAAAAAGAGATCCAGCAAAAGTGGGATGATGAGCGAGTCTTTGAGATTAACGCTTCGGACAGGCAGAACCAGAAGAGGTAGTGCTGCATTCATTTTTTTGGTTTTACCTTTAACAGAGGCAGTGTCTGAGGGGAAAAGCCGAGGCATGAAGTACAGTGCAAAGGTGGAGGTGGTGTCCTAGAGCTCTGGAAATTGTCCTCCTTGCTCTGAGAGGTCAGGAAGCAGCATTAGAGCTTGTCACCCTTGGGCAGGTGTTATATCAATTTCAAAGCTTCTCTGGGATGTCAGCCCTATGTGGGATTTTGTTTTTTGCACTTTTTTAAAAAGAGGTAAGAGCTGTTAGTGTATCAGTTCTCGAAAATCAGAGACTCGTGTTACTGGCAAGGAAATAGTGTTTTAACATCAGTGTGGGCTGGTAATAGCTGAACGTGTCAGTTAACTGTTTTACTTTTGCATCTTCTGGTTGTCATTTTAAAAGCTAATTACATTTTTTAATTCTTTGAATTTCTTCTTAGCAAGGGAAAGTACTTCGTTACATTTCCTTATCCCTACATGAATGGCCGCCTTCACCTGGGACACACGTTTTCTTTGTCTAAATGTGAGGTAAAAGTTTTCCTTTGCTAATACCTTTAAATACTACTCTAGAACAAGTGCTCATTTTGTAGTTAAATGTTGAGCTAACAGAATTCCTGGGTAATTACTTTATAGAGTCAATAATGACTTAGCTCAAACCTTCTTTTTTTTCCCATTTTTGTCAGTGCAAATATTGCTGGTTGAAGAGAAATGCCACTGATTGCTTTTTTTTTTTTAATTCTAGGAGATTAGCCTACAGGTATTTTCCCTACTCAGTCTTCTAGATTTGCCAAGATTTTTAGGGGATGGTATTTACCATTTGTTTGGCTGCTAAATGGCACAGACTTCACCAGAAATCCTGTTCTGTTGGGTGTGAGTCCTGGGCTCTGTTACCTCTAGGTTAACAGGCTGTGGATACCAGTGCATGGGATTCCACAAAATCTGTCTGTTTGTGCCCATTCTTCTCTGGTCAAAGCCAGCCCCAGAGAATGAGGAGAGCTGGTACCTGGGCAGTTGGGCAGTGCCAGACCCCATAACAGCATCGAGTTTCGCTGCCTTTTCCTTTGCTTGGCTTCCGAGGGGCTGTGGGCTGCGTTCCTCCATCTTCCAGTAGTTTCATGTTAAAGAAAGAATTGCACTTGTTTTTTGGGAAGGGTGGGAAGGGTGCTGATTTAGCCTTATGCCATTCTCGTTTCATCTGTTTCGTTTTTCCGCTTCATCTAGTTCTCCGTTGGGTACCAAAGGCTAAAGGGGAAGAGCTGCTTGTTTCCCTTCGGGCTGCACTGCACAGGGATGCCCATCAAGGTGAGGTGCTTCCAGCTACTCAGGGCTCTTGCCCCTGACTATTAAGGGCATTGCTTACTGTCCATCCATAACATGATGTTAATTTAATCAAAAATTCATCAAGAGAGTGTGATTTGGAACCTGCATTTAAAGTAAAGGTGGGTTGTACTTGAACTGTCTAGAAAATAAAATGCTTTAAAGTTAAGGTTAGCTGTTGTATTTTTTCATTTGCAAGAAAGTCCTCCCTGTAAAGCTCTTCCTGCCCTGGCAGGTGTTCTTGAAACTGCAAGATCTCCTAGAATTTAATGGAATGTCCAGGAAAGGTGTAAAGCTTTGTAGTGGAATGCAAAGTGTTATCAGGAGAAAGCACCCCTTGGCTATGGTTGAAGCAGTTGCCACAGGAGAGTGCTGATAAACTACCAATAACTCTATTTAGGCTTGTGCGGATAAGCTGAAAAGAGAAATGGAGTTATATGGCTGCCCACCTGAATTTCCTGATGAGGAGGAAGAAGAGGAAGAAAGTTCTGCTAAAAAAGAAGAAGAAATTATCATCAAAGACAAAGCAAAAGGCAAAAAGGTAAACTTTAAACAAAGACTTTCTGTTTTGGTAGCTGTGCTCTCAAAGCTTCAAAGCTCTCAGTAGAGGTTTTCCTCCTTCACGCTCCTTAGAGAAACCTGTTGTAGGGGGTAACCCTGCTTTCGCAGTGGCAGGGGATATATGTATGCCCACTATTCTGATTATTCTCTTGGAAATTGGTACCTAGTCTATTCTGACTAGACAAGTTTAGTAAAATCATCCAAACTATTTTGGCTGATCAGGTATTTAAATGAGATTTACGATTTTTGGGAGTATCACAAAGCCAGGAGAACAATCAAGTCTACGAGAAAAGTAGAGGTGTCCTTAGGTGTGTTGTTGGTGTGTGCTAAAGAGATTGGCACACAGGAAGTGTTAGATTTGGGATTCTCTGCTCTGTGCCAGCATCAGCTGTGACCTCTCCTGCTCCTGCAGGTGGTAAGTTGCTGTTGGGCAGAGACGAGATCTCATCTGAAGGACAAGAGCTGGAAGAAGTGATACGGGCAAAGGAACAGCAGAAAAGGTTTTTGATACAAGGATATAGTGCAGGACAGCTCCACTTTTTCATGGTAAAAGAGTATTTGTCTTTTGTATCTGGAAATGGGAAACATTAACATTAGTAGAGAAAAGTGCTCTGGAGCGTATGAAGCTGTTGTGAGTACAGGCATATCACTTTTCCTGATCTCCTGTCCTTGCAGAGTAAGGCTGCTGCCAAGACTGGCTCCTCCAAGTACCAGTGGGGAATCATGAAGTCCTTAGGGCTGTCTGATGCAGAGGTGGTCAGTTTTTCTGAAGCAGAGCACTGGCTGGAGTATTTCCCTCCCCTCGCTGTCCGGGACCTGAAGAGCATGGGGCTGAAGGTAACGGGGGAAGCTGGAATTGAGTTCTGCATGAGCCATGCCTGTGTTGTCATTGTGTTTGTGATTGTGCTGCTGCTCCTTGGAGAAGATTTTCTGTATAATACCAACATTAGTCTAGAAAACTTTCTGGTATTTTTGGTATTATTCCTTTAACCTTTTAATAGTCTTGGGCGATAATTAAGTGCTTTCTTACATAGAGCTTATACCCTGTGCAATGATCACAGTGGAAACAAGAAATGAATAAAGGAATTTAAACTTTTGCTTCTTATTTCTATATTAGATAACTGTTCTGTAATCACTATTGGCAGTAATTTTAGGAAGAACAATGATATTAAATAAAGATACTTGTCCTGCTGACAACAGACTTAAAAATTAAGACAGAGATTACGAGACAAGGTAGTGCTGGAATGGAACTGGAGCAATGGTTAAAAGTGCTACAGAATCTCTGCAGTTCTCAGCCAGCAGACAGGACCTTGCATCATTAACATCTCAGCCCTGAAAGACACTCACACGCAGACTGGGAGTTCTGTGTTTAAGCATCACCCTTTGTGTGATACTCACGTTATCTTTTTGGAGAGAAACGTCTTTTTATTTTTAAAATGATAGTTTTGCTATCATGAAGTTCCTTGAATTTCTTTATTGTGTTTACTTACTGGGGGCTGTTACATGTTTCCAGGTGGACTGGAGGCGTTCTTTCATTACTACAGATGTTAATCCTTACTATGACTCCTTTGTACGATGGCAATTCCTTACATTAAAGGAAAGAAATAAGATAAAGTTTGGGAAACGGTGAGTCTGCTGCTGAGCTCCAAGTTTATTGTTTTACCAAAAATTGAACTCTATGACATGTCTCTAGAACATGCTTATAACTCACATTTTGAAATGAAAGGATTTCAGTTTATACTCTGCTAGCATGGTGAAGTGGTATATTCATTGTGCTAGTGAAGTGTGGGAGATTGTGTTCCTGTTTCAGTTTTTCCATGGATATCAACTCCAAGCAAAACAGGACCCATACTGAAAGTTTTTGCAAAAACTGAACATTAACATTGGTAGAAACAGATTGATACAAAATTTGAAAATACCATTAAGAGGCCCCTTTTTCATTGAGTGTTTTTTTTCCTCTATTTTTTTGCTACTAATTGAAAATATACCTTTTTCTAGATACACGATTTATTCTCCAAAAGATGGACAGCCTTGCATGGATCACGACAGGCAAACAGGAGAGGTAGTATTTTTAATTGACGTTTTTATGTATTACTTATGATCTTAAAAGCTGAATGGGAAAAAAATTGTATCTTGAAGCAAAATGGATTTTGTACGTACAGAGTGGTGGGTTCTCAATTGTCAGTACATGGGGAAAATTGAATGAACTCCTCTATTGAGAGTATTTGCCTCAAACTATGGATAGTATTTTCCATTGTAGCTGTTTTCTGTGATTTGGCAGTTTGTGCCGGCAGCATCACTGTGTCGTACCATTATCTGTCTATTGAAACAAAGCCAATAAGCTGTTATTAACTCATATGTTACTGAGACAGCGGCTATGTCCAAAAACATTCCTTTGTTTTTGGACATAGGGATAAAGCGTGACCTCTCTCTCCAGTCTGTGGTTCAGTAAACAGCCATTTGTATCCATGGAAATAGGAGTTACTTTAAAGAACTCATTGGTACCTTAAATAGAATTTAGGTCAGAATAGGATTTATTTTCTTTACTGCTTGAGCTAGTGCCTGTATTTATTGCTGCATTATGTGAATTGCAGGGTGTTGGGCCTCAAGAGTATACACTGATAAAAATGAAGGTGTTAGATCCTTATCCTGCAAAATTAAGGTAGGTCTTGAATTTGTGATGGAAAATAGGTTCTGTCTCATGACCATTAAATTAGACAGTCTGTTTTGCCTAATGCAGAACATAATTTCCCTGTTATTTCTGTCACTTCAAAGACTTGGTCTCTGTTTTGAACTGCTGTATTCACTAGTCCATGTGAAACTCAAATTGGAGTTTAAAATAAAAAGGAAAGAAAATGAAAAACCCACAAAGAACTTAACGACCCACTTCCATCGCTTAGGAAGTGTTACTTAAAAGTTCATATTAGCTTAAAAGCATGTTCTGTGTTGTCCTGAATGTTTTTATTTTGGTGACTTATCAAGTACTTCTTTCCCCCCAGTGGTCTAAGAGGGAAAAATATCTTCTTGGTGGCTGCCACACTCAGACCAGAGACCATGTTTGGACAGACGAACTGCTGGGTGCGCCCAGACATGAAGTACATCGGCTTTGAAACTGTCAATGGGGATATTTTTATCTGTACCCAGAGAGCTGCCAGGAACATGTCCTACCAGGGCTTTACCAAAGACAATGGAGTGGTGCCTGTGGTCAAGGAGCTGATGGGAGAAGTAAGCATCTTGCTGCTCGCTGGGCAGGCTGGGCTCTGCCTGTGGAGCTTGTGCTCACAAAGGTGATGGGAGAATTCTACTTACTAAGAAAGTACATGAACTATTACAAAAATTGCGGAGTGTTTAGTGACTAAAGAGCAAGTAGAAGACAGCTTTCTTGGCAGCCAAGCTCCAGCTACTGCTGGGAGGTTAACCTGCTGCACTTACCTGTGGCAGATGCATCACCAGTGCCTCGGTGTTATGTGGTGAACGAGTGGTTTTCAGTGCTGTGTGTCTGCGCGCGGGGAAGAGTGGTGACTCCTCTGTGAGGAATGGGAAGGGATGGGAAAAAGTAATACCTGGATAGGGTTGTGAGAAAAAGGCTTTTTCTTGATGCTGAAATTTCCAGTACATCTTTGTGAATGAGGCTTTCTTAGCTTAGTGGTTGAATGTCAGTGGTTTTACTATTGCTATCCTCAACTTCTGCGCTCTAAATAACTAGTTTGTGGTGGTTGTTCATCCTCATACAAAGTACCTTCATGCTGTTTGCATCACTTGATCTCCATTCACTAAAACTTGTCACCGTTTTTCTTGATCCTGCATGGAAGGATGAAGTAGAAAATACAGCTTTTGTTTCTTTGTTAGTAGAGATAATGTGAATCCAAGCAAATTAGAAGGTAGAAGACAACATCAAGACTACCCCTGTCAGCGCACAAAAGCTCTTGACAGTGCACTTCTCCTGCCTTGTTTAATCCAGCTTTTGACATTATTTCCTAATTCATTCCTGCCTTGATGCTGATGTGCTTCAGATACTTGGAGGCAAACTGTTCCCTGCTTACTGTCTTTGTCCCACTCTACACTTCAGTAGTTTTGCCTTCTCTGTATTACATTGTCTATATTTACTGGTAGAAAACTTGAATACCAGGTAATAGTCCATATGCTTCTCATATGGTACATATGTGCTTTTTCATATGCACTTCCTTTTGTCTAACGATAGATACAATTTTTCTTTTAATTTAGTGTTTGTAATATGTAAGGAATGCCAGTGAATTTGAAGAATATCAGCCAGGAGAGCTAATCCAGCTAGGCTGAAAAAATGTGCTTTATTGTAATGGTGTCCCTTTGTCCTGCCCAGGAGATTCTCGGTGCTGCGCTTTCGGCACCTCTCACCGCCTACAGAGTTATCTACGCTCTTCCCATGCTGACCATCAAGGAGGACAAAGGTAACCCTGCAGCAGCCTCTTGCCAGGCCCATCTGAGGGCACCGTGCATTCTGTACACACTGACTAACCTTTCATCTGCTCTCTCTCTGCCAAGGGACTGGAGTGGTAACGAGTGTTCCCTCCGATTCGCCGGATGACATTGCAGCCCTGAGAGATTTGAAAAAAAAGCAGGTCAGTCTGTTAACTGAATTCCTTCTGTTTCCTTTCTGTAGCATGGAGGGTCAAAGCGGATATCCAGTGGGTAAAATGAATCCCCCCTTAGTTGGAGTTTTGCCATCTCTGATTGAATTCAAAGTACTTAAAGAAAAAATAAAATAATGAAGCTAAAACCAGCTGGGCTGTGACAGGTTTTTATTCTCAAATTTCAAGAAGAGTTTTGGACAAGAATCGCACAACTTCTGCTGCATGTTAAGGTACAGAAGAATTCCAGTGACATGGAAATAAATTCCTGTTGTGGAAGTGACTTCCAGAGATGAGACTGACCTCTGTATGAATTCCAAATGAGGCTTAAAGTAGCTGTTGCTGTTACAGCTTCAAGAGAACATCAGTGTCTAAACAGCTGTCCCTGGCTATTGAGTTCTTGTCCCACTCATTTTGAGGGTAGAGTAAATGATGGGTTTTTCCCTCTTAAAAATGTCGACAATTATCACAAAGAATCACCTGGAAATGGAATGGGGATTAAACTCTGGTGTGAGAACTGGTGAGAAGGCAGGGAATTGGCTTTGTCTGCTTTATAACTAAATACTATGTACAAGAAAGACCCTAAAGAGATAAAAAGCTTTAAATCCATAAGATTTTTCTTCTAACTATATTGCACTGTTTTTCTTTTAACTTCCAAAGGCTCTGAGGGTGAAGTATGGCATCAAAGATGAAATGGTGCTGCCGTTTGAACCGGTGAGTACACCCAGACGTGTCCCTCTGCAGCACACCTGAAGAAGTTTTCGTGTTTTGATGGAGTTGTACTATTTGGTCTGTTAGGGGTGACAACCAGGATTGGTGATTCAATGCTATACTTTGGAGATAAAGTATTAATTTTTGTGGGAATTAATGTTTTGGAGAGTGGATTGCACCGTTACACTGATAACCTGGTTGACGGTTAAAATGTACGGCCTTAATGGCCGGATGATCGTTGTTCTGTGCAAAGAGCTCAAGTCCCTTACTATAAATGCAGACTCATGAATCCGTTTCCATTAGAAAACACCAGTTACAGGTACAGCTTTCCCAAGGTTCTGCATTCCCTGGGCTTCCACTCACCTCAGCACTGGTGTGGCTGGGATGCTCTGGTGTTACTGTTTGTGGGAGGGCAGGTGGGCAGGCACACTGGGGACTGCTGGGGTGGTGGGTTTAGTGAGTGGAATTGCACTAACACTTGTGCAGATGTGCACACAGAGCAGCCCAGTGGAGCACAAGTTTGAGATTAGCCCTAGCATCCACTTCTGCTGTCATGAGGGTTCTTTGATACTGCTTTTGGCTGTGATACCATGCAGTTCAGGTACTCTGAGGTAACAGTAGCTGCCTTTTTTCCCCTCTGTGGCTCAGACTCCCCCGTCAGCCCTGGGACTGCAAACTGAGCAAAATACACTTGCCTGTCTCCTTCAGTGCCTCTAGTGAAACGTGTGAAATCCAGGAAACAAATCTTTGTGTAGATGTTATTACATTGAGCTAATGTGAACTGAGTATCTGAGACCAACTTGTGATTTCCCAGGTGCCCATCATTGAAATCCCAGGCTATGGCAACCTTTGTGCTCCGACGGTCTGTGATGAGCTCAAAATCCAGAGCCAGAACGACAGAGAGAAACTTGCTGAGGCCAAGGAGAGAGTGTACCTGAAAGGATTTTATGAGGGAGTAAGTAAGAAAAGATTTTGATAAGTGTTTTCTTGCTGAGTTTGATTAGGAGAACAAAAAGACAGTATGTAAAGAGCAAAAGTTTTTTAAAAAGATTGCAGGGAAGAAGGAGGTTTTTTCTTTTTTCTCAGGCCACTTTTTGATTAGACTTTTCCACTGTATGTGCTGACATGTACCCAAACGCATTTTGGGGTAAAGATGACCATCTGGTTAATGAAAAAAAACCCAACCAATTTCTGTATTCCTATTGTTTGCATATCAAAGACTGCAATAACTACTACTTCTTTATGTTGATCTAAAGAGCTATTGCATCTATTTCTTGTTAATTCAAAAAAAATAAAAATCAACTCTATGACCCATCTTTTTTAGGTAATGTTGGTGGATGGATTCAAAGGACAAAAAGTTCAAGATGTCAAGAAAGTTATTCAGAAGATGATGGTGGATAATGTACGTGATAGTCTGCACACTGCTTCTTTTAAATTATCTGTTTGTTTTTTTTGCAGCAGCCGAGCTGCTGAAGAAGGCTCTGATGGGTTCTGTGGTCCTTGTAGTGGTGTTTGTACAGCTACAGAGTACCCCATACCCACTGAAGAGGGACTTTGTGTTCTTGGATTAAGGATTAGTTTAATTGGAGACCTCTTATTCCCTGCTTCATCCCATCACCTTGTCTAGGAAATATTTTGGTGGCTTGGTTTAATCTTTGATGGAGTTGGGGAGATAGTGGAAGTGGGAGATGCCAGTGGTCAGTCTCTCCCAGGCCGTGTGACAGAGGCTGTCAGACACGGACACCCCGCTGCTGGGGCTCCTCCTGCAGAGAGGGAAGGGTAGTACATAGACAGTGGTCAAGCATCTCTCTAATTAGATTTTCCTGATTGGAAGTGAGTGAAGCTTCAGTTATTTAGTTGATATTCCCATGTGGTGGCAGCATTATGTTCAGATTATGATATAAGATTCATCCTGTTCCATCCTGCATCGGAATTCGGGATTTGTGAAGGTAGAACCAAAGTTCACTGTTATGTTCTTTTTTACCTCACCCTGATTTTTTTAGTAGCTCTTGTAATCAGTGGGGGCATAGTCAATGGGTATTACTTTGTGCTTCTGTCCTCCCTTTTTCCATGCATGGAGACATTCTTTACAAAACTATGTGAACTGAGAGCTTTGAAAAGTACAGTCAAGTAGTGGTGCTGTGCAGTGGTGAAAGCTATGCAATGAATGCTGTAAAACGGGTTAGAACGGAGAGGATGCATTTTAATAAGATGTAAGGATTTTCAAGACTTTGCTAAGTAAATAAATCTTAGCTTTTATTGCCCTTTCAACTCAGGATGAAGCCATGATTTACATGGAACCTGAGAAACAAGTCATGTCCAGGTCTGCTGATGAATGTGTCGTGGCCCTTTGTGACCAGTGGTAAGTGAAGTAAAGCTGTGGTTATAAAGTTACTGCCAAATTCTGTTCTCCTTGTGGATTGCTTTGTTAAAATAAACTTTCCCTGACTGTAGGTATTTAGACTATGGTGAAGTCACCTGGAAGAAACAGGCATCAGAGTGTTTGAAACACTTAGAGACGTAAGTTATAAATGTGGGTGTAAAGGGGAGTGGTCGTGTGCTGCTGCTGGCAGTGATCTAAGAGGGCTGAGAGGAGCCATTAGTAACAGCTTATTTCTTACAGATTTTGTGAAGAGACCAGGAGAAACTTTGAAGCTACTTTAGGTTGGCTGCAAGAGCATGCGTGCTCCAGGACATACGGCTTAGGTAGGCAGAACACTGCTTTTCTTTCTCAGTGCTTCAAGAAGATGGTACTCATCACTTCATTGGGAAGGCTTAAGTGCTATCTAGAGTCCAAAATACATTTATTTATTTAAGTGTAGAACAGGTCTATACAACACTGCATCTTGATCCAGCATCCTGCAGAAAGCACACCTTCTTGAGAACACATGGCCAGGGGCAATTTTATGTTTGCATTACTGCAGTTACTCTATGAGCATCTCTGTCAGTAGCTTTTTGCCTGGGCCTTTGATTTGGAGGGCACCTCAGAAGAGGGAGCTAATACCATTTCCTGGGTGTTCCCCTTACACTCTGACTAGCCTTCAGCGTGGGTACCCTGTAGTTTGATATGTAGCAATACATATCAAACCCATATCAAACCATCAGAAGCTGAAGTGTGTTTAGCAGTTGTGTTAAGGAGCTGACTGCAAAAATAGCAAGTACTTTCTCTAATCTTTAAGTGCTCAAGTTGAGTTTTTAAAAAAGGATTTTTAAAAGCATGAGTGCTTGCATATATGTGTGTGTGTCTGTGTATGTTCCACGGGCAGCACCCAGCTGCCTTTGTCCCTGTGACACTGCCTGAGCCTGGCTCCCGTCCCCCAGGTACCCGCCTGCCCTGGGACGAGCAGTGGCTGATCGAGTCCCTCTCGGACTCCACCATCTACATGGCCTACTACACCGTGGCTCATCTCCTCCAGGGGGGGGACCTGCGGGGCCAAGGGGAGTCTCCTCTGGGCATCAGGTGAGCAGAGAGAATCTGTGCCTTTTCTTGTGTAATTCCGTGTGCTTATCTCGGGGTTTGTTCTTGCCAAAGACTTGCCAGGCAGGCTGGTTCTGTGCTGTTGTGTTTAAAAAGCATTGTTGTTAAAACTGCAGGTGTTGTTAGCCAAGTTAGAGCAAATGTGCAGGGGGGGAAATAAGGAAAGAGAAAGGAGTGTGGTGGCCAGAGAGGAGGAATGTCCCTGGAAGCAGAACTGTGTGCAGAGTAAATCACCCTTTTCAATACTTGTTTGCCTTGCCCTGAGGTGGTCCCTGCCAGGTGTGTTTGAGTGATTGGTTTCAGTGGCTGCTGAGGTGTCTCTGTTTATTGGGACTGTTTTGTGGCTCTAAAGTACTGTGTGCTTCAGGGTACAAAGGGGGCAGGATTAGCACTTCGTTTTTGTTACTGTGTTAGAAGTTGGTAACTCTCTTGGAAGCTTAGAACCATCTTTTATCCACAACTTGTATGTGGAAACCTTCAAAGAAAGAAGGCGGCATTTGTACCCAAATACCTTCTGAGACTGTGCTGTGACCTCTGGGTTGGGGTAATGGTGAACTTCCAATGATGGAGGTCCGAGAGATGAGGTGGTACAACCCACTGGGAACTGAAAAAAACCCAATGTCAGTCCTGTCTGGAATCTTATGCTGTAATTTGCATGTTTGATGAGCTATTTTCTGCAGTAGTTTATACGTTGGATCTAGAACTTATCTTGTTCAATGCTATAACTAATCTGAAAACCATTTCCAAAGTGATGATTCTTACAAACAGGACTAGTTCTGAAGGTCTTGGCAAGGTTTTAATGCTGGCTCAAACGTCTCTAATTACAGAGAGGCTCCCTACATACCAGTCATGTCTGCAAACAAACTTTGAAGTGAGCATCCTGAGAACTGAATTATAGATTTGATGGAATGAAGTATATACAATTAGAGCATACTCTTATGTGAGGAGATAACATCTGTCTTACGGTGTTAGCAAATGCTTGTTACTAAGACTTACTCTGTGGGGTAAAGGAAAAGGGGATGTTGTTTCTGAAGCTGGACTCACTCACCTGACTCAGACAAAGTGCCTGAGCCCTCTCTGTCCGTGCTGGCTCTGCTCATCCAGAGTTGTGAGAACGAATGAGCGGCTCTAAGCTCTGGGGTGTAAGAGGGAACTTTTCCTGCCATCTCAATATGGGACTAATTCTGTGCAGGGCACATCAAATGAGCAAAGAAGTTTGGGATTACATCTTCTTCAAGGCAGCACCATTTCCTAAAACGGAGATTCCAAAAGAAAAACTGGACAAGCTAAAGGAGGAGTTTGAATTTTGGTACCCTGTGGATCTCAGAGTTTCTGGCAAAGATCTTGTTCCGAATCATCTCTCGTACTACCTCTACAACCACGTGGCCATGTGGGCAGAGCAAAGGTAAGGCTGGAGATAACACAGAGGAGATGAAGCTGGAGAGCTGCTTGTTCTGGTACATTTGCCAGTGGCTTTTTTGGACTTTACAACATTCAGAATTAAGTTGAAAATGTATTCTTTCATATTGCAGCTTTGCTACAGTTGTCTATAGTGGAATTTATTGAACTGGAAGGCTTTTTACTGTTATTTCCCCTCTTTTCTCTAGAATCCCTTAAAGATTTTAAGATGCAAGATTCTTAACATACAGATTCTAAAACGTTGAAAGCAGAACTGAAATCTAACTGCATGTTATGACTTTAATTGACTTGCTGAAATCCTGTCTGCTCTCAACGCAGGAATTCCAGCAAGTAGCATAATTGACAGGGCAGTTTCCGTTGGCTCTAGGGCACACCTGAGGGTTTAGTGTCCTTGGCTTGGTGCTGCTTTAGAGGGTACGTGTGAAACCGCATTGAAACCACACTGGTGTATCTTTAGGGTTTGCATTGTTGGACAATGCCAGTCATTGACCTTTAAATTAAATGTGGCTGCATAGCAGGAGGTGGGATAAGTGAAGTGTAATTGTAGGTGCAACGCTCCCTGCTTTGCTTTTCAGCAGTGATAATTCCTAACCCTTTTATTTGTAGTTCTTTCCATCTTCAGACACTCCTTGATTGTGTTTTTTTTTTAAGACACCCCCTGGGTATTTTTTTTAAGATTCCACTTAAGGTGTTCATCTCAAACTAGGACGTAAAATGTTTGTTCTTTCTTTTGGAAGAGAAAAATGTATTTCTTTACCAAATGGTATGTATCTTGTCTCCAAACAGAGAAAAATGGCCAGTAGCTGTGAGAGCCAATGGACACCTCCTGCTCAATTCGGAAAAGGTACAGTGAGGTTTGGTGTGTGAGGTGGCTTTTGCGCTTGTCAAAGTAGGCACTTGCCAGCCAGACTGGAAAAATCCTTCTTGGAATTTGAGAGGAGGAAATAGTGAAAACTCTAGTTTCTTCATTGCTGCCCTCCAGTTTTTCCTTCATCTGAGGTAAAGACCTGCCTTTCCTCCAATTCTATCTAACGCTTTCCTTAAGTTAGTTCTTGTATGGCTTCACCGCTTTTGTAAGGATTTCAGTGCATTTGTTAAGTTTTAGGGTCATATAGAATGTAGTATGGTATTTTTTTGACTAAATTTCAGCTTTCTTAGGCATTGGAGTAGGTGCAGTGAGGGAGAAAAGTTAGTGCAAATAACTTGCTAATGCATGCAAGTTCTGAAATGGAATATAATTGAATTTAAGAGTGCCTGAACCTGGAAATTAGGCCTTGGACACTTCAATATGAAGCAAAAAAACCTCCTCCAGAGTCCTTCTTGAAAAGTCAGTGCTGGATGATCTTAAAGCTCCAATTTTGAAGTAATATTTAGTTTAGGTAATTTCTGGAATTCAATTTTGGTACCAGTTATGCCATTTTTCAAGGCCTGACAAAGTCTGTGGCTGACCCCACAGGATGCAGGAGACAGCGAGCGTTTCCCTGCAGCCATGGGGTGTGAGGGCCTTAGTCCTAACAACTCATGGAGGTCTCAAGACAAGCTCAGCACTCAGGAGTTAGAGGAGTGCTTGCAGAGCTTAGTCGCCTTTTACTGTGGTTCAGCTCAGATTTACCAAATGGCTTTTGCTACGATTCATGAGAAGATGCTTCCTCTGTGGGTTGCCCATACCCTTGTCGCGTTGTTCTTGCTTATCCAACAGCAACGCGGGTGTGGGAGAAAACAAAGACTCTTCTGTTTCTTTCAGATGTCTAAATCCACAGGCAACTTCCTCACCCTAACCCAAGCTATCGACAAGTTTTCTGCAGATGGTAAGTGTGTTCTCACCTGCATCTGGTTTTCAATTATGCCAAAAAGACTGAAATGAGTGTTTTGCTCTCAAAGGAGCAGTGGGTTTATTGGAGTAATGAATTGCAGTAAAACTCGTGTTCAGCACCTGTCCTTGTTTGAAAAGCTGAGCTCTGTTTAGAAAGCTGGGCACAGCCTCTGTGTCAGCCAGGAACTGCTCCTGGTGGTGAGAGCCCCCAGAGGGTCCCTGTTCCACTCTTCCACGTTCACTGAAGAGATCAGAAGATGAGGCACGCGCTGGTGCTGCCCGCTGTGTGTTCGTGCACACCCCGCTCCTCTCGTGTATGCCCTCGTGCTTTGGACATCTCCGTGGTTGTACATCTCCTGGTTGAGGGGTTCTGGCTGCTTTCCTTCCTCAGGAGGGCAGTGCAGCTCCCCTGGGTGAAGGGCATCCTTGGAGACTTCTCTCTCCAGTTGGCCAGGCAGTTTGTAAATCCACTTTGCATGTTATTAACTCCTAATGAGAAGTTAGTTGTAATTCACTCTGAGTCCCGTGGCTCTCTCTATCCAGCAGCTCGTTGTGTGCTGGCCACGTGAGCTCTCTGGTTTCTTCCAGGCATGCGTTTGGCCTTGGCTGATGCTGGGGACACCGTCGAAGATGCCAACTTTGTGGAAGCCATGGCAGATGCTGGTATTCTGCGTCTGTACACCTGGGTGGAGTGGGTAAAGGAGATGATTGCCAACAGAGACAGTCTGAGAAGTGGCCCTGCCAACACCTTCAACGACAGAGTCTTTGCCAGGTACCCTACAGAGGCTGATAATACAGTTTGGTCCGTTTCCTTCTTGCAAGGAACATTTCTTGTTTTTTGTTGGCTTTTTTTTTTTTTTTCCTGCAAATGAATGAATTCCGTAAACCAAACCACGTGACAGAGTGGGTTATGGGATTGTGCTGTGCTGGTGACAGTGATGTTTTACCCAGTGCTGTCATTGCGTGGGGCGGACTGAGCAACGGTGGTGTTTTCCCTTCCTCCCCAGTGAGATGAACGCAGGCATAGTGAAGACAGACCAAAATTATGAGAAGATGATGTTTAAGGAAGCTCTGAAAACTGGCTTCTTTGAATTTCAGGTAAGAGGTATCTTTTTAGCTATTTGTTACTTTGTGGATTTCTTTTGATCCTGCCGTCTTTGATGCCTAATTATACCGCTGAATTGGATTCAGAATAGTGCCATGAAACAAGAGTACTTTAATAGAATAAATCTGAGGTTATAAAGGTCTGCTTGGGTGATTTTTACAAAGGTCCAAAGGAAGACAACTGTGATGCCTGAAATAGTCCTGGTATCTAATAGGAGCAAAAAGCTGCTTATGAAAAGACTCTATTACAAAGAGTGGTTCCTGTCCTTATCCCCTTTGGAACAAGGAACATAAGAAATTCAGATAATACATCAACAAAATTGTTTGGAAGCAGAGTGCTTTTTGATATATTCCATAACCCATGTCTCCGGAGTGTCTGCTGAACCACGAGCTGCACTTAATGAATTACAGAGACTCCTTCATGTGGCTCCTTTATGATATTCAGGAGTATGATGAAGTAGGATGAATTGTATGTGTAATGATAGATCCTATTCATTGTATTTTTCTTGGTTCTTATTAGTATCTTTACGCGAGCTATTTGGGATGATAGTGCCCCATAAACAGCTGTGGATATTTGTGTCTTTTATGTCTGTGCCAATGAACACTTTTGAAAAAGTACTGTATTATTGCAGAAATCAAATGGCCAACAGCCAGATTCACACTCAGGTGCTTCATGAAAGTACAGTTCTTGTAAGAATCCATTACTGACTTCTAGGCTGCTTATGCTCTGTGGCCATTAGAGCAGAGAACGGAGTGTGGTTTCTTCTGGGTGTTTCTGCTGGCAGCTGGAGCTAACGGTGGGTGCGTTGGCTGTTTCAGGCGGCGAAGGACAAGTACCGTGAGCTGGCCATCGAGGGAATGCACAGGGAGCTAGTCTTCCAGTTCATTGAGGTGCAGACCCTGCTGCTGGCTCCCATCTGTCCCCACTTGTGTGAGCACATCTGGTCACTGCTGGGAAAGGTACTCCAGTCTTGCTGTTTGGTTTGGATCTAAGCCTTTACTGGTTGTTAGTAAGGCTCCCATCAGGCTTATGGGTGTCTTTCATATACAAGTGGAAGAAACATGTGTCTTTTAATATGAAGAGCCACACTAGCTGATTGTCCATGGGCTGGTGACCACAGAGAGCCTGTTACTGGGGTGATACGAGAAACTTTAATACCAGTCACTTCGGTTGTGGACTCACAAAGAGGTGATCTAAAATTAACGCAAATAATGCAATATTCCCACACTTAGGCATGAAACTTAGTTGATTTATTTTAATGCCTTGTGCTTGTAGCTGGGGTTAGGCAGCTGTATGGCAGGAGTAACTGTGTGTATAGTCCCTAACACCCTGCCCACAAGTGCCTGGGTGCTCACTGGGGTTCAGACTGCCTGATCTCCAGTTTCCAGTCAGGCTGTAATGGGCTGAAAACCCACCAGACAGTGGTGTGTCTCAGTGTGTGTGCCTTCTCCCTCTCCTCGCAGCCCGGCTCCATCATGACCGCCTCGTGGCCGAGCGCGGGCCCCGTGGATGAGGTGTTGATCCGCTCCTCCCAGTACCTGATGGAGGCAGCCCACGACCTGCGCCTGCGCCTCAAGAGCTACACGGCACCTGTGAAAGGGAAGGTGGGGTGCTCCTTCCCAAGTGTGTGTGTGCACTAATTCCCTACTGCCTATGGCCCCTTCCTGACTTTGGTTCTTTGTGTCCGTAGAAAAGCACCAAGGAACCTGCCCAGAAGCCTTCTCACTGCACCATCTACGTGGCAAAGAGCTACCCGCCGTGGCAGCACACCACCCTGTCCCTTCTGCGCCGCCACTACCAGGTACTCGGCCTGTCCTGCTTCTTTGGGTGGCTTACCTGCTTTTTGTGGGCTCTTCTTTCTCTCTGTAAAAAGCTTATACGTGGTAATTTGTTACCAAATTATTTAAATACAAAGCAAGATAGTTCTAACTTCATGCTTTTATAACTGTCCAGTAAATTTTGTGTATTGGTGCTTAATGAAAATGCTTCGGGGAATGTAATTGATTTGGCAGTATGATGTCATTTCAGGCTTAAATGTAGATTTAAAATGCATTCTGGTAGAGAATTTAAGTATATTATTATATAGTCACTGGAAAGAATAAAGAAAATGCAGAATAATCCTGAGTAGCCTGAATGGCAGGAGTTATCTGGGTTTTTTTGTCAAAATTCTAAAATATTACTTTAAAAGTGTTTCAAAGGGATTGGAAAATTACTATTATATTGGGATCAACGATGCTGACAAACGTCACTGGTATTTATGGGAAGCATGAGGGGTATATTGTATTAAAGGGTGGGTTTTTTCACTGATCCCTGCACTTTGTAATGGATGTTTGTGGATGTTCAGGCCAGTGGAGGTCACCTGCCAGACAACAAAGTCATTGCCAGCGAGCTCAGCGCCCTGCCCGAGCTGAAGAAGTACATGAAGAAGGTTATGCCCTTTGTTGCCATGGTTAAGGTCAGTGTCAGAGGGATGGTACTTGGACAGAAAAAGCTTTGGTGAATGAACTGTGTCAGCCAAAGGCAAGGACAGTCTGTAACTGTGCAGGGGGATTGTCGTTCCTTCATTTCATTCCATGATCTCCTCCTCGCTTTTGACTTCAGTCTCTGTCCTGCCCATAGCTTTATTTGCCATCTTCATGGCTTTGTTTATAACTGTCTTTGACACCTCTAGGAGAAAGATATAATAAAAATCTGTCATGTGAATTGGCCCAGTGAACTCCTGGTCTCGCTGGAGCTTGGTGGTTTGTGCCTTTTGCAGGTTAAGCAGTCTGTGCTTCAGTTGAAAGTGGGTTCCTCCGTCCATCGCATTTGACTCCTCCAGTTTCTTGTGCTAAATGGGAATAAGGTGTTGCTTTGGAGACATAAAAATGCTTAGAAAGTTAAGAACAAGGCTGGAAGAAAGGGACAGATTAAACATTGAAGAGGAAGTTCTCTTTTACTAAATAAATAAATAAAAAACTCACATGGTTTTTATATAGCCTGTAATACTTTCTCTCTTGTGACTGTTGCTGTTGGCTTTCTGGACTAATTAAGTTACTTTTATGTTGACATATAAAGCAGTTGTTATTTCCCTGCAGAGAACTTGTTTTACAGCTGCTGTGAGCGTGCCCAGTTGGTGTAAGCTCGGCCTTTATTTTAAACTAGGTCAGAAGACTGAAGTTCCTGCTGTGAAATGCCACTGAAATGCTGACTTATTTTGTGAATTCTCAACCTGCACATTAAGTAGGGATTATAAATAACTGTGAATGTCAAACACCTTTTCAATTCTATATTAAAAATGTGTTCTAATTGCTCTTACTCCTCCCATCAGTGTCAGAATTCCCTGTAGAAGAAACCCTGTTACAAGAGAATGATTGCTGCTGCGTTAGCATGTTGTGCCAGCAGAGAGCTGTCATATTTAAAAGCCTATTCTTTTCATGACTAATGTAGATAGTTTGCCATTTTGAAGCATCGTTTTACTTGCAGCGTTTAGAGGGGTTTAATCCTTTTTTTTTTTTCTTCTTTCTTTCCTTTGACAGGAAAACCTGGAGAAGAATGGTTCACGTGTTCTTGATCTGGAGCTGGAATTCGATGAGCGTGCGGTGCTCATGGAGAATATTGTCTACCTGACAAATTCCCTGGAGGTTGGTGTATCCCTGGTTCTCCAAAATGAAGAACCCCCACCTGTTTCAATAGATATCTATAATTTTGTAACCCACCCCTTGTTTTTTATTTAACAGCTGGATCACATTGAAGTGAAGTTTGCATCTGAAGGAGACGATAAAATAAAAGAAGACTGCTGTCCTGGAAAACCATTTTCCACATTCAGAACTGAGGTAAAATCAGATACTGGATTTTCAGATACTGGAAGAAATTCAGAAATTCAGATACTGGAAGCTTAAAAACTTATTTAAAAAAGCCCAACCAACAAACAAAAGCAAATACACCATTTAAAAACATGAATCAGACATAAACTTTGGATTTTTTTGCCTTGGATCCAACAACCCTTCAAAACAGGAAACATCTCCTGAAGCAAATAGGATTTATTTTCTTCTTCCTCTGTGTAGAGCCCTAAGTGTGACTGTGATTGCACCTGAGCTTTAGGGCTCCTCCAGCCTGTAATGATTTGGCCTGAAAGCTGTTAAAAACATGTGCCCTGAGCACAAGCCTATTCTGCATTTGTTTCTTTCAGCACGTGCCTCAGCAGCCCCTCCTTGGATCTGGCAGATTGTATTCAAAACACAGACCACAAACAGAGAATGGAGAAGGGCTTGTGCAAGTGTGGCTGGATCTCACTTCCCTGCTGTTATTTACCAATTATTGTGTTTTGGCTTATCCCTCCAGACTGTTTGTAGATAGATGGTGTTTATTTGTTTTAGTTTCGTATTTCCCCTGACCCTTGGATCACAAACTCAGATTCTCCTTTAATGTTTGTATTAACTTTCTTACAGCCCAGCGTGTCTGTGTTTTTGGTGAACCCTCAGCCATCAAATGGCCATTTCTCCACAAAAATTGAAATCCGGCAAGGAGACAGCAGGGAGACGGTGATCCGGCGCCTGATGAAGATGGACAGAGGAATCAAAGGTAAAGCACCAGCACCCACTGTCCCACACTGGGATGGGTGTTCCCAGGAGAGATGGGAAACCAAGCTGCTGCAGTGGGTGGTGCTGGCACAGGTGCTTGGAGAGGAGCAGGAGGTGCTGGGTTTGAGTGAAGAAGGAAAGGGAGAATCTGCAAACAGGCAGGCGTTTTTATGGGCTTTCCTCATTAGTCTTACGTTCTGCCACCGGTGCTCTGAAACCCAGTTTCAGCCAGGGATTAATAGGGATTTTTATTTCCCCTTGTGCTTTGGATTTCCAAGAAAAAAAGAGTTGGTCCCAAACTGGTCATAGGCAGCTTCTGCCACTGCTATTTTGGATCCCAGGGCTGAAAAAAAAATTTATCAAATTAATTTTTCTATTTAGCCTAAAGTGAATTAATTTAATAGTTGCTACATAGGTTCCTAATAATTTCTGTCCCAGTTCTTAGTGGAAATACTATCTGTTCAAGTTGGGATTATCATTGTTCATGCCCAACTCTAGCTAGCAGCCTCTGTGGGAACTAGTTTAATGTTCCTGCTGAATCCTCCCAGCCATTCATTCCCTCTCTGCTCGTGCATTCCTTGTGCACTGATGCGGTATTTGGGCTGCTGGAGGCTGAGCCCTGTGGAGGTGAGAGACAGCAAGCACTGGCAGAGTGTGTTGTGAGCTCCTGCTCCCTGGCAGTGGGGACTCTGGTCTGAAAGCACTGAGGCCATTTCATCTCCTGTAACCCCAGCTTTGCATTCACACTGTGGTGACACTGCCTGTTCCTTCCCCTGCTGTGGCTGGGGCCAGCAGTGGGGACCTGCACAGGGACAGCCAGGCCTCCCGTGGTGTGTGCCGGTGTCACCGCTCCTGACGGGCTGGTGCCCAGTGCTGGTGTGGCCGTGGCACCGGCGGAGGTCCCCAGGCAGGGCTGGGGGAGCCACCTTTGTGGTGCGTGTCCTTACAGCGTGGCGAGGGCCCTGCAGCGCTGCTGTGCTTTAGCAACCCCAATTCCATTGTGGGAAAAAATGCAGCTCTATGGAGGGTCTTTTTGTCTGGGAAAAATCCAGCAGATGTGTGTGTATCGGCTGCCCCTCTGCTGGGTGGATGTTCTGAAGGGACTGAGAATAAGTGAGATTGAGCGGTGACTCCTTCTCATGCTGTCTTTGCCAAGGGATGTCCCTGTTCTGGGGTGTGCAGGACCAGGAGCTTGGACTTCCAAGTCCCAGGCTTCCTGAAGGCTTCTCTTGCTCTGTGTGGCAGTCTGTATTAGTGTGCATTTTTATAGGGAATTGTATTTAAAGCTACTCTCACCTTCCCTTTCTCCCAGTCTCTGAAATTCATGGAAATGATCCTGTAACTGTTCTGTTACAGCTGTCCCCAAACCAGAGAAGGCAGGTTCAGGGCTTAGGGTGGTGTTGGGATCTGGTGTTTCTGTGGTTTGTCCCCATTTCCCTGGTAACTTGCTGTGTAATCACTGGACATGGTTGCAGTGGGTGACATCATCACGTGCGTGGTGTTCCCGAGAGGAGGTATTTCCTCGGAGCAGGTCGTTTGAGGTACCAAGTGTTGTTGTGATGAGCTGAGTGGCTGCAGCAGCTGCTGTGCAGAGCCCTGACAGCCCCTCTCCTGCTCCAGATCTCTCCAAGGTGAAGCTGATGAGGTTCGATGACCCCGTGCTCGGCCCGCGCCGTGTCCCCGTCCTCGGCAAAGAGGAAGCGGAGAAGACGCCCATCCTGGAGCAGGCCATCTTCCACATCGACCTGGGCCAGAGGCACGTCCGCGTCTCTGAGAACGGCCTGACGAGGGACATTGGGGACACCATTGTTTATCTCGTTCATTAAACTGACTCGGTCCCCGGCAGCGAGGGAGGTCAGAGAGGGACTTGGAAAGCGTCGGTAATGAACAAAGTTGAGAATTGATTCTAGAAAAAGGAAAAGCCCACCCAAACCAACCTGATTTTGCATGCAACTTCCTGCTCTTTTCAATGTGGATATAATAAAACTATTTTCCTCTGGCCCTTTGGCTTTTCTTGGAAAGAATCTGTTATCCCGTGCGCTGACCCGGCAGCTCTCCCCTCTCAGCTGGGACAGTGATGGCAGGAGTGAACTGGAGGGTGCTGTGCTGGGGATCCTGCTCCCGCCTGCAGGGCTGGGACCTGGGGACAGAGGCTGCTGCAAGTCTCCGGAGCCGCCGGGAAGGCAGCTGGCAGGAAAGCTCTCCTTAAATTCCTTCTCCAAAAGCACAGGTGTTGGTTCCAGGAAGCAGGGATTCGGGCAATAGAAATCCACTATATTGACAAAGCAGCAGCCAGATAATCTGAGCAGATAAAAAGGAGTTCAGAGTTTTAGCACAGTAAGTGTTGCTTCCTTGCGCTTTCAGCGTCGATGGGGTGTTCTCCCTTCCAGCAGCTCCCCAGGGAGCAGAGACCCATGGATTTTTGGGAGAGCTGGTGAAGTGGGGGGGGTGTGCCATTTGTGTTGGGTTTTTTTCTGCTGTGAGGGGGAAGTTAAACAGCAGTGGTATTTCTTACAGTCTCAGTGTTCAAGTGAATCAGCCCAACTGGGTTGTTAATGAGCAAGATAGAGCTAAAGAGCTGGAATTGTCTCTGGTGGTGTGTTGGCTTCCAGGAGATGTCACTGCGACGCTGGTTCTTGTGCTTTTTATCCCAATAAAAGCTGGTGCCAGGATAAAGAAGCTTTCTTGGTATTAGATTTCCCACATCATTAACAAAATTCTGGCCCTACTCCATACTCTTCCTGTTGTGATTTTGGTTGGAGAAACTGGAATGGGAGTGAGGCTGGGAGCCCTGTCCTTGGGGCATCAGAACCAGAGAGCAGGAGCTGGAGCTCGGTCTGGCTAAAATGGAGCCAGGGCCGGGCTGGTGGGGGAGAGCAAAGCCCGTGTCCGTCCCCCCCCCGCCCCCAGGGAACCCTCCTCCTCCCGTTTGTCCCCAACCGGCGAAACCGCAACCCCAAATCAGAAAGTGGAATTAGACATTCCTGGTTTTTCATGCAAAAAGTTTTAATGGACACGGTGGTTTCCACGGGACGGGGGTGCCGCAGGGGAGGGGTGGGGGGGCCATAGGGGGTGGATAAAACACCCGTGTCAGGTGCTGAGAGCTTTCCCCAGCCCTGTGTCCCCCCGTCACCCCCCACCCCGCTCACTCAGGAGCACACCCGCACTGGGGTCAGCTCTGCCTCTTACACCTCTGCTCTATAAGGTGCCATAATCCATTCGGCTCCAATTAATTTAGTTAATTACAGGTTACAGATCTAAACATTAGTGCTATCAACTTCCATGAATAAACTTCTGAAAACTTAAAATATTTCTAAACCATTGTTTTTCAGTTACAGAAATACAAAATAAATATCTTGAAGTTTAATACAAAACAGCAAGTTAATAGATTTTTGTTTATTGACCTCTCTTCTCCCCAATAGTATGTTAAATTGAAAAACCTTTTAAAAAAATGAATTTCACATCATGGAAAAAATATTAAGCATCACTGAATTTGTACAAGTGTCTCTGAACAATCAACTAAATGTGTGTTTTATTTATTCCTCCTACCCATCACCAAATAAGAGAAGATTATATACCCTACTGTTTCTAAGCATATACATGTAAAAATAGTAATTTCTGTTTTCTCATTTATAGTAACGTGGTTGTAACATTTCATTGTGGTGTTTCCTGGGCTCGGTGCAGGAAAAAGACACCAGAATTCCCTGGTCTGTTGGGTGGGGAATCCAGGTAAAGTACCTTTGGCTGATCCCTACTGCCTTTAAAACTTCTCTCGGGTGGGACTTTGGTAGAAATAGATCTTTTCTCCACTTTTATCACCGTAGAGTCCTCGCCTGCCCGTCCCTGGCTCGGTGTCCCAGGTGCCAGCCACAGCACGGGACGAAGGGATTGGCTCCCACCACCCTCCCTGGTAAGTGCCCGTCGCTTCACCTGGGCGGGTTTGGGCTCTAAACACTGATTTTATCAATGTTTTGAAATGTTACTTTTTAAATGGGGGAGATACTGAGACTTAAGGTGAAAAAAAACCAAAAAACTTTAAGGGGGGTTGGGGGCTGGGGGTTCATCTAGACCAACTAGGGGGTTGGACTAGATGATCTCCAGAGGTCCCTTCCAACCCCATATCGTTCTGTGATTCTGTAAAGTCTAGAGCTGTTATTACACTCAAAACGTGTCGTTGCACAAATGAACTGCAATAACTCTTGGCCAATGAATAAACCTCCTAAAATAATGGTAAATGTACACATGAATTTACACGTTCCCAGGCTGCTCCGGTGTTTCCCCCTTTGCTTTGGGGCCAGTGTTGACATTGCCCTTGGCTGGGGCCGGGGCTGAGGGATCTCGGAGCCTCCACAGCACAGAGTGGGGCTGGGGGGACGGGGCCTCGTGGAAAAGGCTGCCTCTTCACTCAGAGTGTTTTTTTTTTTTTTTTTTTCTCAAGCAACTTGGGTTTTCTGAGTCTGGAGGAGACCTGTGGTGGTTTAACAGTTCTTGTTTTGCTTTGGTGGCTTATGAGAAATGAAAGAGAATGAAGTCAGGAAAGAAAATGCTTGGAAGCGTGTGTTCACTAAAACACCTGGTGGCCAAGAATACGGGGTGGGTCAGCAGCCTGGACACAGCACAGCCCCAAGGGTCGTCTTCTGATGTTAGCTTTGGAAAACGGGCCCTTGCCAAGGGCCTTGTGGGGAGCAGTGGGGTCCCCTTCGTGCCCGTTGCTGCAGGCTGGGGACAAGCTGAGGTGGGGGGCTCAGAGACGAGCTGCTTCTGGCCAGGGCAGGGGGGCATCCTCCACGTGAAGGACATGGAGAGAATGAGTTAATGTTGTGTTTTCTTACTGCTGCTGCCTCTGCTGGGATCTGTCAGGGAAGATGACTGCAGTTCACGCTCGGGGGGCAGGTTACTGACTGCAGCGCTCCAAGGCGCCTGCCAGGCTGGGCAGGCAATTAAAGCTGAGCTGATGAATGATCTGATTTGGGCTCCAATTCATTAACTAATCATAAGAAACGAGCAGACAGAAAGTAAGGCCAATTCAGGAACTTGCGAGAGGTTCATTAATGGTCCCTGTGTCCCCGTGTGGTGCTTTATTCACTCGTTATTGCTCCTCTCTGCGCCGCTGGCGGGGGATGCTCCGGGTGGTGGGAGCTGGGTCACCCCCCTCACCTGGGCAGCCAGAGGACAAGGTATTTTCATTAGAGATGGGCACAACGCTGTGGTGCACCTGCGATTGTTTTGCCTTTCCTGGTGTTGTTTTCTTTGCACTCTGTGCCTCACGTGCTGGTTTGGGGCAAACCAGAAGGCTGCAGACCCGGTGGGTTGGCAGGGCCAGGGCTCAGACCACTGAGAGGGCAGAAGGGAGACAGCCCTGGGGGGAAAGGGGTGGCCTCTCCCCAGCAACCCTCCTGGTCAACTCGGGAATGACAAAACAGGGTCCCAATACCGATATCTAACCTCTCTTCCCTGGGGAAATGGGGCTGAAGAGAGTCTGGAGGATGGGAAGGGAGGAGGGAAGTTAAATATGTTTATAAAAAGAACAGAAACCCTTGTAGAGCTCGCCTACCTCCATGTAGAGCTTCCACCCTCCTACCAGCATGTGATGCCTCCCTTTTCATTGCTACCAGTTAAAAATAAACGTTGGATGAGAGCAGCCAGGGATGGACAGGGCTTTGGAGCAGATTTTGTGGAAGGTACAGTGTCCTTTGGGTCAGCAGCGCAGAAACAAAAAGTGCTGTTGGCTCGTGCACCAGGACACCGGTGTGGTGGTTCTGCTTGTGGAGTCAAGGGGTAACTGCTCCAGAACAGACATTTTTAGTCTGGGGCACTTGGAATTGCTCCCTGAAAGACCCAGTTGGTGTCTTCCCCATCATGAGCAGCTTCTCCGTGCAGACGAGGGCCATGCAGTGGGCGCTGCCTGGCTCAGGGCTCCTGACAAAGCTCCACGGTGGCTCCTGCAGGAGCTTCTGCTTGAGCCTGGGCTTTGGGAAGAGAAAGGTCTGAGTTCCAGTGAGTTCTGGTCCCTCTTCCTTGGGATGCTCCTTGGTGACACAGCACAGTCCCGATGCCTCCTGCGAGGTGCTGCCAGGGAGGAGCGGAGGAGACGAGGACTTTGCTCGGTGGCTGCAGCAGGGAACCGAGGGGCAGGTATGGCCACGGGAACAAGGTGGCCATTAGAGCTGTGGCTTTAAAATATCTCCTGTTTTCCGTTCTCTCTCCCTACATATTTTGAATATATTTAGGGCACTTATCACCATAGCATCAAAACACTGAAATATCCCATGCAAGAAACTCAGAGATCTGTCCCAAAATAGCTGCCTGCTCTTTTACCAAAGCACTGATGTCGCCGTCGGTGCTTCCTTTCCCCGTGACTGTGTGTGACTGCACGTGTGTGTGTCAGAGCCTCTCTGTCCCCGCCAGCCCCACGCTGTCACGTGTTGTAACACAGCGGGTTAAGGGCCAAATCCGGGAGAGATTTGTGGTGCTTTTTGGAATGTTTGTCTGAAGCCTTCACTATCATTTACTGGGCTGAAGTTTTGAAGGCTTCCCTGGCTGCTGTGAAATCTTATTGCTGTTTATCTCAATCCGAGAGGGTAAAAGGGTGGGTTTGTTCCATGAAAGGCAATATTCCAAACTGATAATGTGAGTGGTGTCCAGCTGTTGAGAGCCTAGATGTGCAGGAAACCTTGATGGCTTATTAAGTCTTATGGCATCCTGAGCACCTCCAGCTTTCCCTGATGCTCTCGGTGTCCCCTGGAGCTTCGCCTGGTACGCCGGGGCAGGGGAGGTGCTGTGCTGCCTGGCAGGACCGAGGGGTGAGAAATGGAGCTGCTGTCACTTCTCCCTGTCTGCATTCTGAGCTTTTAATTTTGCAGCCCCAAACTGACCTTTAAATTCTTCCTTGCTGCCTGGCCCACCGAGCGGGTCCTGCACAGTCCTCATGCAATTCTGTTCAGTTCTGAATGTGCTTGGGAGAAGTGGAGGGTGTCTGGGTTATAGAGACGGATTGTCAAGTTTCCTGGTTTAGTTTTAAAAGGATAAGAGGAGTCTCCAGGACAGCACCGGCACGTCCTCTCCAAGATGTTCAGCTGCCTCTGAGGTGGCATCGCTGAGTGGTGCTCCCCCTCTGATTTACAGCAGGCACCACCTCTTGGACCTGCGCAAACCGCACGTTTTCAGTTTGTCAGGACTTTTCTGCGGGAGCTTAACTAGTGGCAGAGAGCAGAAGGTGAAGCACTTCTCTGTGCTGCTGGTGGTGTCTGCGCTGCTGGAAGCCCTGCAGGCGAAGGCCAATGTCCTGCTCCACAGGAAGAAACGGGCTGGGAGACCTCAGGAACAGGGGCTGCAGAGCAGGGAATGTTTTTATGCATTCTATTTTCTTAGTTCCAGAAGAAAACTCCTCTGAAGAAAGAGGAAAGAAAAGTCCTCTGAGGCTGTGCCAGTGCCTCGGAGAGTTCCTGTTGAGCAGTGGAGGTAACTTCATGGCTTCTGTGTGAGATTTGCTGAGGGTGTGATTTTACAGCAGTTCTGGAAGAAGCACGGCTCCTGCTGCTGGGAGATCTGGCGGCCGGTGGTTGTGGCTGGGGTGGGACTGCTGGTCTATAAACCAGTAATAAAACCAAGGTACGAGCCCCAGAAGCTGTTGTGTGTAGGTTTGCTGGTGAGAGGTCCCGGCCGGTGAGGGGGGGCTGCCCAGACCCTGCCGGTCCCTGGGATCACAGGAGGAAATGGGGTCTGCTGGAAAGGGGGGTCTGTGGCACGGGGAGCGCTGGATTCTGCTTTCTGTTGCTTAGACAATGTTTCATGCATCTTAATGTAGACTTAAACCCAGGAATTCCACTGAGGATATTTACAAAAGCAATGTCTGAGTGGGCGGGCGGTGGGAAGGAGCTGGAGGGAGCTCCTGGGCTGCTGGGAGGTACCTGACAGGTAATTAGAGGAAACCAAGCAATGAGGAGAAGCACGATGCCATCCCCCTGTCTACAGAGTCTAAGTGACTCCGGGAATGGCATGTCCCTTTCCGTTGTCTCTTTTCTCTCAAATCACCTTTTAAACTACATTCTGTGTTAAAACTCGGGGACTAAAACCAAACAGAAAAGCAAGCAACCAACCAACCTAACAAAAATCTGAGCGAGCGCCCCTCGAAAGGCAACACGAATCGTCAGTTAGGAACTGACTGATTTTGATTTATGGTTTCTTTATCCTGCAGAAGCAGGGAAGTAATGAACCAGTGTTTTGATCTCTGTGGGCTTTCCTGCAGCAGTGAGGAGATCAAAACAAGCCTAACTGTTTCTGATACCCGCACAGTCTCTGCCTCCTCCCACTCCTCCTCCAGTTCCACAGAGCAGCCCCGCACGGCACCAGAGAACATGGGGTTTGTGGATGCCACAAACACCGTTCTGGTCTCTCGCAGCCGTCCTGGGGGCAGGGGGATCCTCCAGCCGGGGCTGGGACAGGGCTCCCTGCGGGGATCAATACCCGACTCTCCCTTGGTGCTCTGCCAGCCTCCGAGCTGCAGGTCCCGTGGGTGCTGGCGGCATGGGGCCATGGGGAACGCCTGCCCCGTGCTGCCGGAGGGGACTGGGGGGGTGTTGGGCCAGTGGGGGTGCGGGGTGCTCGCCCCCGGCAGGAGGGAGCAGAGGGGCAGGCGGAGGGAGGGGGCGAGCGGAGGCGTTACCCCGTCAGTTTGCAGAAATGCTGCTGTAGCTCTTCTTGCCGGGGAAGGTGAGCTGCCCGGAGAGGTCCAGCGACAGCGCCTTGGGGTGCAGCACCCGTCGCTGGTGCAGGGGGCTGGCGCTGGCCCTGGGTGAGTAGAAGACGGCCAGCTCGGGGCCTGGCAGGATGCCTTCTGGCAGGAGGAGCTCTGCTGTGGCCGCCGTCTCGCTCCGGCTGCGCAGCAGGCTCGGGGAGGGCTGCAGGCTGTGCCGCTTGGGCGGCGGGGGGCTGTGGTTCTGGAACCTCACCGTCTTCACTTGCTGCAACGAGAAGGGGACCGGGGTCACGGTGGGGAAAACGGCCACCCCCCCCCTGTGGTCTGTCAGAGACCTGGGAGAGTCAGCCCAGAGCCATCACCCGGGGGAGCAGGGGGAAGGGAGGGCGGCAGCAGGACAGAGGAGGGAGGGTGGTCGGTCCTGCCTCGTGGTCTCTCTCCACCTGGTGATGTTCCTCCTGGGAGCTCTGGGCTCACCTGGGCCATCAGGGGGCCGTGGAGGCAGTTACTCTTTGGGTGCCACAGGAAGGGAAGGTCCTCACTGGGGCAATTTGCAGAACGATTTTATCTTTATGAAATTTCCCTCCAGCTGCCAGAGGGGAAGGAAATTTCTGTTCCAAATGACTGAGCCAAAGGGATGGGAGGGAGACGGGGGGAGCTCTGTAGAGACCAGCCTGGTGTACGCTCTGACACCCAGGCCTGGCGTTTGCTCACTCCCAAACTCTCGGGGCCTCGGTGGGATTCTTGCCTGATTTAAGACCTCAGAAAAGTCTCAAGATTTGATTGTGGCTGAACGTGGGTCTGCACCAGAAGAGCCCCCGCAGCATCTTGCCTTTCTAACGGGCTTAATCTGACCAGCAGAGTCTGCAACACAACTCTCTGATTTCTTAAGGCAGGTACCAATCCCAGGGACTTCTACCAGAAGAAAACCTGATGAGAATGGAGTGAAGCCCTCGTGGGCTTTGGCCCCAGGCAATATTGTGCTGAAGCTGAGTGCCAGCCCCAGGAGGACGGGGGGACCCTCCCTCCAGCCATACCTTCTCGGCGCTGTTGCGGGACGTGTCTGGTTTCACCAGGATGGACGGTGGGGCCGACGCCGGCGGCTTTGGAGCTGCCTCGCTCTTTGCCGGGGGGTCTTTGGCGTCCAGGATGACGGAGCTGCACACAGAGGGAGTTCTGCTCTCCCCTCCTCGCACCACCAGCGCCGGGGAAGCCTCGTGAGAGAAGCTTGTCCTCGTGGCTGCCTCGGCCACGCCGGCGCCGGGGGACACGCTGTGCGGCGGGGGGCTGGCGTGCTGGTAAACCTGAAACTGCTGGGGTCGTCCCACAGCCGCGGGACGCCTGAGGGAGCCGGCGACGTGCACGGGGGTCCCTGCCTGCCCCGGCCTCTGCAGGGACCCGTCTGGGGAGCAAGAACAGTCGGGAGGAGGTAAGTCAGCAGGAATCCAACACGGTTTGGCCAAAGCACGAGGCAGAATGAGCCGTGGCTGCAGCCCCGTTCAGGGATGCTTGGGGGGGTTGGAGCTCCCGGAGATGGCCACACACCCACCCCACGCACCGGGACCGGTGGCAGTAGCCGTTGGCTGCCCTGACCTGTCTCAGCCGGCAGCCGCCCCGCTGGAGACCCGAGGCCAACAAAGCAGAACCCTCAGTCCCACAGAAAGTGTCTCGGGTAGGACCACTCTGGTTCCCGAGAGCTTGCCCCTCCTCCCCTGCGCTGCAGGAACACGCTAACTCTGAGCACCAGGTTCTGAGCCACCACAGGGTAATGGGTCCTTTACAGCAAAACAACTCTCCAGATAAATCCCATTTCGAGTCTAAAATCAGTGGCCAATGGCCCTTGCAGCCGCGCCAGCCCCCTGCACTGCCTGCCCCCCCAGCAGCTCCCTGGAGAACGTGCCACTTGTGCCCAAAGGCGCTGGGAAATGTGTTCCAAAGCAGCACATACGGGCTGAAGATGGACCTTGTCAGCCTCCTTGGAAAGAAAATAACCAGCAGAACTCTGCAAAAGCCCTCACAAGGAGGTTTTTCTGTGCCGAGTCAAAAAAACCTGAAATTGCCAAAACAAGCCCAGCTGGAGCAGCCAGTGGTGTGGGACCCCAGCCCCTGCCCCCTCGTGGAGGGGTCCCAAGGCTCCCTCTCCCTCCCCTCCATCCCCCGGAGGGTGTTTCCTACGCCCCGGGCACGTGTGAGTGAGAAGCACAAATTGGATCTGTGCGGAGGAGGAGAAGAAAAATAGAGCTGATGGGGAGGATTTTCCCCTCTAGCGCTCTGCGGCAGCAAGGGTTTGGCTGCACGGCCCCGCTGGGGACTCTGCTGCTGGTGCTCCCTGGGGGATCCTTTCTCACCTTCCGGCTATTCCTTATTTTATGTGTCTTGGATATTTCCAAGCTGAATTTTTTTACTCCTGCAATAGAAGTTACTCTATTCTCTTGATCATCCTCCTGCATGCTTTTCCTGATTTTTCTATATGCTTTTTGAGTTACCAGAAATATATGAATTGTTCAGGATGTGAGTTCCCCAGAACTCCCCCGATGGCAGAGCTGAGTTTCACTATCTTGTTCTGAGTTCCTTTCTCAATAATCATTAATAATAAAGTAACCTCTTTTTAAAATGGCTTCTGAGCATGGAGTTGCAGCTCTTGGAGCCATCAGTGACAATTCAGAACCTCTCTCCAGACTGACAAAAGCTAACTTAGGGGCCAAGGTTGTGCGTGTATAATTAGGGATCTGTTTATTGGCATTTCAGGTACCGTTTTAGTGCCCTGTTGCTCGTGGTGGTGGATTTCAAGGGTTGGATTTGCTGATTTTTTCCAAGAACACCGCAAAAGCCCGGTCGTGGTGGTGGATTTCAAGGGTTGGATTTGCTGATTTTTTTTCCAAGAACACCGCAAAAGTCCGTTTTAGAAACTGATAATATTGTCTTGGTACAGTTCACGTTTAACTTGCTGGAGTTTGTATTTCATTTTCTTTCTTTGCTGCATATACTTTTGCATACATACTTTTCTGTCTGATGCCCCAACTTACGCCATTTTTTAACTGTTTTTGGTTACCCAGGGTGTGTTGAGCCCCATTTGAGTGGTCGGTTTGGGTGACCCAGCTGCCATCGCCCCAGGGATTAATGCCCTGGGGCTCTTCACCATCAGCCTGGAGGGCTGTTGGGGCAGCCTTTCCTGCGCTGAGCCTGGGAAATGGCATTTTCCTTGGTGTGCAGCCCCTTGCCCGCGGCAGGATGCTGCTGCCTGTCCCTGGCACCCCCCAGCCCTGCAGCAAGAGCTGGTTTCACAAGGGGGATGCAGCGGGTGACAGCACGGTCACGCTGTGTCTTTTATGGCTCTGGCGCTAATTGCAGGCAGCCAGCGTGGACTGGGGGGGATGCATCTGGCTTCTCCCTCCCAGAGACCCCCTGAAGCACTTACTCTTCCTCGTGCTGCCCCGTCCGCGCCGCAGCGACGCCTGTCCCGAGGCCAGCGCGCTCCTCCCGGGCGAGGGGACGGGCACGGGCAGCAGCGCTGGCTTCAGGGGTCGGCTCTGTCTGGGGCCGTTCTCCGAGATGCTCCCCTGGGAGGAGAGCGAGGAGGTCGATAGTGTCCAGGAGGCGTACAGGGAAGGCATCTTCGAGTCAGAGAGATTAGGTTTCCTGTTTGAAACGGGAAAGAAAATGAGCTGGGACTAGACTTGTGGTTTTGTAAGGAAAGGAGGAGTTTGCCCAAAAGGGAACTCTGTGGTTTTAAGGCACCTGTGCTGGTCCCAGGTCAGGGCTTTGGTGGGAAACGCTGTGGACCCAAAGTTAGCTCAGGTTTCTGATTCCATTATAACGAGGGCTTTCATCTGTCTGCACCTGATTTATAAGAAATCATTCCCAAATGGGGTTAGGATTTGTTACAGTGACCCCATGGCATTGCAGAAGGGATCTCTCCTTAAAGGAAGGATGAACCATTCCTCTGATTCTTTTTCGGGGGGTGGAGGAAGGAGTTATGGTTTAGGAACTGTGCAGTGATTCATCAAATAACTCTGGCGTCAGTTGTGAAGCAGTTTCCTGAGGAGGACAGAGTGGCAGCCCCAAACCCTGCGCTGATGGTTGAGGCACTTTATGAGGCTGTTTTGGGTGATGGGCCGTGCTCTCCATGATGTGTTTGCTGTTTATTGGTGAGGTGGAGCCGCGGTGTTATGGGAGGCTCTATGGGGAGGAGATGAGCTGGGGGGATGGAGAGTAATCACTAGTGCTCCTGAGTGCGGGGAGGGTGCAGGGGGATGATGCTGGGATTAAACAGCACCAGGACCCCTGGCCTGACCCCAGCGATCTGGCTGAACCACATACCAGTCCTGGGAGAGGTGCCCTGACTTATCCCCGCTTCCTATTTGCAGAAGCAGAGCACTATGTTTCTAATCTTCTTTCTGTCTCTGCCCAACCTGAGCCTGTCTCAGGGGAACTAAGGGAATGGGCAATTTTTTTTCCCTCTCCTAAATTGTATATTTTAATTATTGCTCTTTCTAATGTGTGTTTGTTTAGCTAGATCAATGGCGTCCAGTGATTAAATGCCTGCTCTAAAGACAGTATTTTGACTCTAGAAGAGGCTTCAGCTTGTGGTTTCACTTCTGGCAGGAAAAAAAAGAAAGACCGGAGTCATCCAAAAGGAATAAAGGCGAGTCCGAGCACAGACACGCTGCCGTCCATCCCGGCTCCAGAATAACTCATCAAAATGTGCCGCTTGTCTCACCTTTGGTCTCTGCCAAAGTTCCTGGACTGAATTAAACAGTCACGGGAGAAGCTGCTGATGCCTCTGTCCACATCCCAGTGTAGAACCGGTGGATGAAGGCTGATGATGTGCTGTTTGCTCATCTGGACCGTGTGTCCCCTCCGAGGGGAGCACTGCCAGCCCCCTCTGCTCCCTGCCCTCTCCCTGCTGTTGGAAGAGATGGGATTCCCACATGGAGCATGCAGCTGGGTCAGTGCACAGAGAAATACAGGGAATGAGAGCTGCCCAGGGTCATCCCACCCGGGCAAGGGATCCCCTGCCCTTGGAAGGGCCTCAGGAACCCCTCGCAGTGATTTCTCTGCAGGAACGAGACCACCCCAAATCCTACATGTTACCCACTCCCCTCTCCCCATGGTTTTGTTTCAAGTAAGAAGAACCAGACCTGAAGAGGGGAGCGACGTAGTTGCTGGGGAAGATGCCCACTCTCCCCGTGACGAGGGACATGCCCCGCAGCCAGCCGTCCTGGTCCTTCCCAAAGACACGGACCCCTTCTCCCTTCTGCAGCTCCAGCTCCTCCGGTCCGTGAGCCGTGTAGGAATGGAGAGCCACACACCTGGGGAGACAGGGGGATCAGGGGGGCAGTGACTGTCCCCTGGAGCACATTCTGAACCTCCTGGGTTTGACTCAGCTGCAGAGCGGACGCTGCTGCCCTTGGGTGAGTGGCGGCTGATGGCCTGGAGCCTCCTCAGCCAGCGCTGGCATCAAGGATTTGGGAGCTGCTGTTATTGTGGAGAGAACTGTGCAGGGAAGAGACTGCCTTAACTTTAGGCCAAAGGGGATATGAATAAAAGAAGAGCCAAGAGGAGTGGAGAACAAAGCAGATCCCATCAGTGGTTTCTGTCCCAGAAGCACAAGCCAAGGGCGATAAGCGCTGGGGAGGAGAAGGCTGCTGTTCTCCTCCTGGCAGAGTGCTGGGCTGGTAACGTGCCTGTCCTCAGGCACAGCAGTGAGAACGGGGGCAGGGACAGCACTCTGGCCCAGCGAGAGCATCGGGGGCACGTTCTGCCTTTGAAATAGGTGTGAGAGGCCTTGAGCATTGGCTGGAGGGGCTGGAGGCGAGAGGAGCACGGCTCCTACGGCTCCTACAGCACCATCTTCCTCCCTCCCCTCTTCCTCCTCTGGCCTGAGCCCTGCAGGGACCAACACAGGGACTTCAGTTGCTGCCACTGGGCAAAGGAGGAGGTAGAGGGCTCTGCTCTGGGCTGGCAAGGAAACTGAGCTAGAGATTAACTTGAGATCCCCCCCTATAACCCTCTGTTGTTATTGTGGGACTATGAGGAGACACAGCTTTGCTCTCCCCAGTGTGGCCACACACCAAAACAGGAGCAAGAAAATGATGTACTTTTCAAAACTTTCCCCTGTTTGTTCTTTAAAGAACTTTAATTTGTCTCCAGAGTAGCACTTATAATTTAATTGCGTGGTTGTTGTTTTTTAAGGGGAGTGTGATCTGCTCCCAAATATGAGTGAGTTACAGGCCAATACAGCAATTATCAGATATTATTTTAAAAATAGAAAGAGCCAGACTAGTTGTCTAGATAGTCAGGGGCTTTCCCATAACTTTTAAAAACATTTCTCTCTCCCTGTTGTTCAGAGCAATTGCTTGAAAGTTTGATTTGAAACGCCTGTTGTCTTTACAGTGACTTCTGCTCCTGCCCCGTGCAGGGACGGGGCACGGCGGGCGTCAGGGGCTGTGACTCTGCCGTGGTTTGTCACTTGGTACAGGATTCATCCTGAAGGGCAGGATGTGCAGATCCTGGTTTGATATCGTAGGGCTGAAAAAGGAGCTGTGCACAACAGGCAGCTGATTGAGCTCTTTGATACAATCCTCATTCTGCAAACGATTTTAAGGTCTTAGGGGTGTTTTTTGTGCTGAGGATTGTGTGCAGTGGTCCTGGGTGACCTGTGCTAATGCACGGAAGCAGCATCGTGACCGTAGCACAGATTTACAGGTACTGCTGGTATCTAAGTGTCCCACAGCTCTTTCGATACTGGGGAGGTGCTAATTACCATGTAGGCAGGTTGTTGCTGTTTGGTTGTTACTGGGTACCTCACTACAGTGCCAAGCTGATGAAGCTTATCTGGAGGAAAACAAATCATTACACTATATTATCTGCAAATTTTAACTCTGGGAAAGTTCTAAAAGATTGGATCATTCAAAACACCGCTAACCTTCACTGTTTTAAAATAAATAACTTGAGGCACTTAAGGAGTAACTAGTTTCTTTATATTTGAAAAAAAACCACCAACATACTGTTGACAAATGGGCAGAGCTCTGTGTCTGTAAATGCTGAAGCAGGGAGTGGGGTGCAGGGAGGGTGCCCCTGTGGGAACAGGATAATTGAGTCTCTGTGACCCCTGTTTATCCCGGGCAAGCCTGTCCCCGCGTGGATGGGAGCCCCTGGGGGCTGTGTCCTGCTCTGCCGTGACCTCCCGCCTCCCCAGGGCCTCGGGTGGGATGGGGCTGAGCTGAAGGCACAGAAAATCACCCAACCCCCTCAATGGTTGCAGTTTCCTTACGTACATATAAGCTGACACATGGTGCTGCAGGTGGGGCAGGGTGACAATGGCTGCCGAGGGCCCCAGTGATCCTGGCGCAGCGTAGTAAGATGCACTGACCTATGGGGAGAAAGAAAGCGAAGAAAACAATATATTAATCTGGATATAGGCTTATTTTAGCCTATATGGAAGAGCAGCTACAAGCATTTCACATGATTCACCCACCCTTTAAAAAAAAAAACAAACATAACAAACAACAAACCGAAGATGTTTCAGGAGAAAGAAGTTTGGAGCATTTGACAAAAAAAGGACCAGGCAGTAAGAGGAAAACCCCCTTCACCACCGAGATGCTTTCCAGATTCATCCACTGTCCTCCAGGAACGAGCAGCACTTTGGGAAAGCAGCATTTCCAGCCCAGACTTTGCTACTCAGGAGGAAACCGTCGCGCCTGCCAGGTGAGCACTGGGGTAATCACTGCTCTTTCACTTCTTATTTACTCAGCCCCAGCTGGGAGTATCGGCATTGTCTGAACCCTAAATAATGCAGTCCTTACCCCAGTGATCTTTTAATAACTATTATTAAAGCTGTGGTGTCCTGAGGAGCTCTGCAGCCCCGTGCGTACGCCGGGTGCCACACCGGGGGCGGGGGCAGAGGTACCAGCTGGGGCGTGCGTTTGGTTTGGGGTGGCCCTTCCCCCAGCCTCACTTTGCATCTATGGAGAGGTAACCGTGGTGCCCCCTCTGCTCTCTTGTAGGGCTTTTGCATGTTCCAGGGAGGAGCCAAGGTGAGGAGATAACTCCTTGGACCTCCTTCTTGTCCCAGTGAGGATGTGGGCAGTGTGTTGGGCTGTCCCCGTTCCTCTGTCCCTCCACATCTCACAGGTTGAGTGACATCCACCCACTTGGGGGGTTTCTGAGGTGGGGTCCTCTGCTCGACATCCCACTGAGCATCTGGCCATTACCCCTTGGCCCCAGAACCTGCCTGAGGGTGTTTCTGTTCTTCTGAGTTTGGTTTTGGTTACGTGTCCTTTGTGCTCACTGGGCTCTGATGTGGTCCCACCACAGGCAGCTGTGCCCGCCTCGTGTGGCACTGATCTCTGCAGAGGCTTCACCTCCACAAGGGGCTGCGAGGAGATGGGGCTTCTGTTCAAAGGGTGAAGGCCATCCAGTAGAAAGAACGGAAGACATTTCTGCAAATGCCAAGTTCTCAAGTGAGAACGGCCCTGCTCTCCTGCCCTGCCGATGGAGAAGGAAATAGGACGATCTCTGTGAGGCTGATAAACTCTGCACCTCCATCGCCAGCATGCTCCGTGGGCTGGAGGCAGCTTCCAGATGGCTGATGTTCCAGCCAGGAACAAGACATGGAGATGTTTCAGTCGGTTGTTGGTGTGAAATAGGTTCCCCCGAGCCCTGGGGTGATGGGGAGCACAGGCAGTGTTGTCCCCGGGGTGATGGGGAGCACACACGAGCATCGTTTGAGCGTGTGGCGCTTGATCCGGTGCCCCCGGGACGTGCTCTCGGGCTGATGGATTCCCTGCAAAAGCTTGGCAGTGTGTCCCGGGGTGAGCTGCTGTGGGCAAACGGGTCATCCCCACCTGCCCGAGTGTGAGCCGTGTCCAGCGGCTGTCGGGAGATGGGAACGGAGCTCCCAGCTGGGCGGGACGGCGGCGGCAGCGTCCCCGGGGAACCCCGGCCAGCGGGAAGTCACCGGGCGGGGATGTGGCTGGCAGCCACGCTCTCCAGCAGAGACCACAGGATCGTTAATGATGCGAGTTGTCAGGGCTTTAATCTCTTACTCATTTCAAATCTAATTTCTAGTGGCCATGTCTGTAACGTGGTGCTGGGGCAGTGGCTGAGCAAGGACCTCGGGGGAAAAGAGAGTGACTCACCAGCTCTGCTGCTCTCCAGTACATCAAGTTAATTAAAAACCCAGCAACTGCAGCTTCTGCCTCTGGACCTGGAGTGGCAGGTAAAGCTTCACACCATCCTTGTGTTCCTCGTTTTCTAGTCCAGGTAGGGTCAGACCAGGCTCTCATATAAAGTTGATTTGAAATTATAATTCTCTTTAATAATTTTGGTAATCAAAATCTTTGAAATTTGGGGATTTGGAGTTTCTTTTTTCTGCACTGGAGCAAAATGACAACCTTTTGCTGGTTTTTCTGATGGACCTGTGTTGAAATGTCTACTTCTGGATGGAAAGCTTGATATTTTTCATCTCTCTCTGTTCCCCCTGTGCATGGATCCTTTCAGAGCCAGCATCAAAGCTGGGTTTGTGTTTTCAACAGAGAGGAAAAAGGATTGAACGAAGTATTTTCCAGCTGTGTATGATTGATTTCAGCATTCACTTTTGCTAATCTCCTGCAGGTACCTTGCAAGCCCTTATAAGTACAAAGAGCTTCATCCCCTGCCTCTCCTTAAATTCCTCTCTTTCTTACTCCATCTCCCATCCAGCTCGTTGCCAGCGTGGTTTCTGCAGCTCCTGCTGACACAGGCACTTCCCTGTTGGGTGTTCACGAGACGCCTCGTGGGGAGGGAGATTTTCCTGGATCCATCGGGGGCGGTTGGTGCTGCTGGGAGCTGGGAGCTGCAAGTTTCACATCACGTATCCCATAGAAAACCCGCCTGCACTTGGTGGCTGGTGTCAGGTTTATCAGCTTTGCCGAACGAGCGGTGAAGGGCAGCAGTGGCTCCTGGCCGGGTGTTTCCTCCCCCACCTACCCCCAGAGCAGGGGAATGAGCTCAGGGGTGACTGGGGTGACTGGGCAGAGGTCCCCTCTGCTGCTGGGGCGGGGAGGGCGGGCGCAGTTCGGCATCGCTGCAGCCCTTGCCCAACCAGCACATGCACAGACACGGTGCCCACAAGCCCTGCAAACTGGTTCTGGCTCCCGGCCTGGCACCGCCAAGGGAAGGAAGAGCAGGAGGAGGGCGGGCGGGTGCCGGCTGTGGCCGGTTATTCCCTTTTATGGCCTGAAATGAGCCCGACCTGATCCTCGGTGGTGGAAAGGCCGGGCAGGGCGTGCTGTGGGAAGCCCTGCAAACACCCAGCACGGCCCCTTCACCGTCGCTTCTGAGCCTGCGCTTTGTTCTGCCTGTCCCCGAGGTGCCTCCAGCCATCGCTGGAGACGTGACTCTGCTGGGGACGGGGTGCTCTGGGGGGATACTAGACCCCAGCCTAGGACTTGTGCTCTGGTGAGTTTTTGGGGCTGGCAGTAGGCACGCAACTGTTCATTACTGCCCAACTTCTGTTTCATCTGGAGTGGCATAAACCCAAGAAACATAGATCTTTTCCTTCTGAGTAATGCTGTGGATATAAAACTAATTGCCATGGCACAGCCACGCTTTCAGAGATGAACTGCTGTTTTTCCAAAGCCTCAGCACTTACTGTTGAAGCTGAACTTCCACCAGAAGCTGCTGGCCAGCATCAGCTCTCGTCTCTCCCACTGCTCCTCAATCCTGCACCTTTGCTCTGATGATGAGAGCTGCCTTATCAAACCCCCACAGCTTCCCCATCCATTAATACCAGGAGAAAGGCTGAATGACCTCAGTGGGATACGGCCAACACGCCTGGCAGCACCTATCTGGGCTTGCAAAAGAATCTCAGCTTTACCGGTCGGTCGTCGCAGCCCAGACCCAGAGATGGTAAAAGGAGGAGCTGTAACCTGTGTGGCCCCGTGAACGGCACAGATCCTCCAGCAAACCTCTGGGAGCAGATCTGCTGTCTAGAAGAAAGGAGATTCCAACCCTTCCGAGGCAGCACGTTAACACATCCACTCGATCGCTTCTGCTGCCGACAGCAGTTTACACTGAGATGTTTTTGGTAAAATTATATTGGGTTTGTGAGACATGATACCATTTCAATTGAATTATAGTTCTATCGTGAGGCTCCATGTCCTCTCACATACTCCAGGAGCTGACATCCAGGGCTCTTTGCAGGCTATTGCGAGGTACAAAATACCTGCTGGCTGTTATTGCACAGACACCACACTACCAGGGGCTGGCTTATTGCTTTATAAAACGTTAGAGCAGCCCTGAATATGAAAGATGTCATACAAATCTAAACAAAACCTTTTTTTTTCTACCATTTCAGATGATCTGTGAAGATTCCATACAGAGATCTTTAACCGAAGTGTGGAGAAGGAGTGAGACTCTGTTCCTCCCAGAATGAAGAGTGGATGTAGTCCAAAAGGTCAGTCTACATTTATTATCTCAGCCCCAAATTCCATTTCTCTCAGCAGAGTCCCGGGTTCAGACTACAGACAGAGGCTGTGTATTTGCCCTCCTGCAGAAACCTCCCTCTAGTCGTGGGTCGGGGCGGGCAGGGGACAGGTTCAGGGCAGGGCAAGGGCCCCGCTGGGTTTTCAGGAGGGCTGGCAGCCCCTCTTAGCAGAGCCAGGAGGCTTCAGCATTTCCGTGGGTGCTATAACTGATGGGTGTATTGTGAGGAAGCCTGTCCTGTCGGCAGTTTGCCTTTGGAGAAAACTCCGGGGATTAGGGCATGGTAATGGAGCTCCGGCTCCCCTGGGACCTGTGTGTGCCCCGATGGGCAGAGCAAAGGTAGGGTTGGAGGTACCCAAAGAGCTCCTGTGCTGAGATTTGGACTTTTCAATTAAAGCTGGTGCTTATCATTGCGGATACGCATTGGGGATGTTGGGAACTCCTTGTATGCTTGAGACTTACCAGAAAAATGGAAATACCAATTAATAAGAATAATAGGTTTCTACTTCCCTTTTAAGCGTGGGATTAGATGAAAAGGCCATTGAAGCAATCGCAGGCAGGACAGACCTGCTCAGGACGATGCAGCCTCCTCTCTGAGCTCACCAGGCTTTCATGTGCTCGGAATTCAGGGCCTGACTCTGCAGGTCCTACTCTGCCGGTGCGACTTCATGGTGTGAAAGAAGCTCAGAAAGGCTCATCCTCAAAGTAACACGGGTGAGCGTGGCCGATGGCTGGGTTTAGCTTTAATTTTGCAAGTGCTGAGAAATGTCTGGTTTTGATCTACGTCGTTATACAGCAAACCAGATGTTTGCAGTGTGAATTCAGGCGTGTGCACACACCCACACACACACATACATGGCTGTGAATGAGCTCCCGTGGGAATCGTGTTCCTTACTACTTTCTAAACTGAAATACATTTTGTTTTGTGTGTTAAGGTCTTTGCTTTCTCCCACTGTCCACCTGGAGCTCACTGCAGCAGGGCAGAAATTGGGATGGAAATCTGCTTTATCCATGTTTAGTTACTCTGATAACTTAATTTCTGTTTTCATGAATTCCCTTGGGCTGCTGAACTCTGAAGACAGCCCTTTCCAATTCAAAAAAAGGGGAAAAAGTCCCAGCAGCCCGATGTGGATGACACCTGACTGATGCTATTACTATTGGTGCACTTTAGCTTCTGGACTTGCTGCCTGTGCGTCCAGTGCTTCTACCCAGGATTTGTGTTTTGGGCTCATTCTGCTCCCACACCATCCCCGATGCCGCTTCCCTACCTGGAGAGGTGGGCTGTAGGGAAACTCCGCTTTCTCGCTGCTCTGGGTGGCCACGGTGGGGTTGCTGGAGCTGATGAGGACGGGGGAGCTGATCTCCAGCGCCTGCCGCTCGGTGGGTGCGTGGACCATCCTGTTGAGGGTGTTGAGGGCGGTGGTGATGGAGAACTGCCGCAGGCTCTTGCGCCGGGAGTCGGGCACCTTGGGGAAGGCCGGCGAGTCCGCACCCTTGGCTTTGGGAGACGCCGTCCGTAGGGACGCGCACTTAAACTGAGGGGACCAGTGGCTTTTGCTGGTCTGGAGGAGCTGCCTGGCAGTGGTGTTTGGCTGGAAGAGAGAGAGAGATGTGATGGCAGGGTTCAAAAGTCATGCCTAGCACAGCGCAGGTTTCCCTTTTCCCTCTCTTTTCCAACCTGTCAGCAGGTTTCAGATGATGTTGCAGGTGATCTTTAAAAACTTTAAAAGCTCAGTCATTCTCCTGATGCATTTTCAGTGACAAATCCCTAATGCAAAGCTGACAGCAAAATTAAAATTAGTTTTAAAAACTTATTGCTTAGAGAACTCGTTCCTGGGGCTGAGTGCTCCCCCCAGCACTTTACCAAAGGCTGTGTTTCTTGTGAAAGCCCTTGCCTGGCAGAGGTTCTGGGCAGGGGAGAGCTGGCCGACTCCAGCAGCATTATAATAAATTTAACTCTAAATAGAAGGGACCTCTGGGCACATCTCCCTTTTCTGCTTCGTGCTGCCATGCTTGGGAGCGTCTCACAGGACATCGGAGCTCTGTAGCTGGCATTAAGGCGTGAGCTCAGAGAAGCCCTTGCTGGTGGTGGCTTTCCCAGCAGAAGAGATCTGCCCAGTTACCTCTCTACTGGCCAGAACGTTCACAGCTTGGTCCTGCCCCCGGTCCCACAGAAAAGGCCTGGCTGGTACCCGCTGGCTTTAGGGAGGGAAGAGTCAGGCCCTGAGTTTGCATACGGGCGATGCTCAAACAGTATTTCTTGGAAACTGCTGATCACACAGTATTAATAGCAAAGGGCATGTGGTGACAATGTTTTTTACCACGATGACTGCCAGAGGAATTAATCATGATTTACTGCTGACATTAACGAATTGCAAAACTTGGAGATTCTCACCCACTCAAGTGAGGCAATGTGCCTGGCTGAGCTGAGCAGGGATGGCTCTGACGCGGGAGAGGTGTCTCTCCAGCATCATCATTTTAAAGCAGGAATTGTTTTCACATTTCCCTCCTCCTCACCCCTTAAAGCAAGGTTTAAAAACAATAGCGTGTGCATATGTACACATATAAGATGGCAATATTGTAGTTTCTGTATGTAATTAAAATTAGCCTAAACAGGAAACATTTTTCTTCCCTCTCTAAACACCGGGGGACGCGATGAAATGGGGCACAAACCTAAGCATCAAAGCCAAGAAAAGCCTTGCATCTCCCCAAACAGACCTATCTTTGCCTTCTCCATAATTAATTTCTAGTTCCTTGGTGGCTTTATGTGGCCCTAGCTAACTTATTTCTGTTAATGCCAGACTTAAATAAGTAATTACTGAAGCTAAAATGATTTCATTAAATGAAAAGACATTCTACAAAATATATTAGAGCTTCAAATAAGATGTCTTACCAGTGTCCTTTCATAAAATAGCCACAAAGAAGTGCTTGCTGTAATTATGATGATTACAAGTATTAATTTTATTTCTAGGAATTCTTGTTGGTGCCATTTACACCCAACATCTCAAGCTAAACTGCAGGAATACAATTAATGTCTAGACCAGCGCTAACGAAGCACCGTCAGGGAGCGGGCAGCAGGAAGGGCTGGGAGCCGGAGCGCCGGGAATGCTGCTGTGCTGGAGGGGGGGACACCGGGGACACCGTGACCGGCAACGTCCCCGCAGACCGGTCCAGCCAACAGAGCCTGGCGGGACCTGCTTACAACAGAACCCCTTGAAAATGCAAGTTTGGTATTTTGGCTGAATTTGGCATTTTTGCCCCTATTTTTTTCCCCATTTCAGAGGATCATTGCAGTGAGGGAGAGGCTTGCTGTCTGCAAGGCCCAGAGGCAGCGTGAGCCGTGTGGGGCTGGGAGGGGGGCTCTGCCCCCCGGTGTCGGCCATGCCACTGCTTCTGTCTGCAAGGCCCAGAGGCAGCGTGAGCCATGTGGGGCTGGGAGGGGGGCTCTGCCCCTGGTGCCGGCCGTGCCCCTGCCCGGTGTGCCGTTGGGTGGGCACGGCCAAGGACAGGTCCCCACACCACACACACGGTGGGGAAGGTCCCTGCTCTGTCACCTCACGTGCCCTCTGGGCAGGGAGATGCTGCCACCCCGATGGACAGGAGCGTGGGGAGAGGGGGGAGGTCGGGTGGTGGTGGGCTCACCCTGCCATGGCAGAGACCCCCCCTGGACAGCCCCAGTGCTGCCGCCCCGTCCAGCCCCGGGGACACCTTCTGCAGTGTCCCTGCTCCCCATGCCAGCCTGTCTGGCCTCACTCAGCACAACGCTCTAGCTTGTCTTTAATTTAAAGGTGTGAGCGTGGCTGGACTGGGACCGTGGACACAAGTCTGACGGTGAGGACATGAAAAGCCTTTGACCTGCTGGATGGTCTCCATCGCGTGGAAATGCCTCTGGAACTGCCACACACACAACTAATAATGAAAACGGCATTTTAGCTACGAACCAAGCACAGACCCCCTGTACGAGTGTGGAGGTAACTGGTGCCACGCTGCCCAGAAGCTCAGATGGCTGTTTCAGGGGCTGAATTAACCTGGCATTGCTGGAGTGTGGGTATTTGACATACTCCGGAGGAAATCAGCTGGTTTATATTGACTGATAGCTCCATCCCTTTGGAAAGACCTACACTCCTGAGCAACACAGCAGAATTAAGCCTTGTTAACTTTTAAGATGTTTTGATTTAATCTTTTTAAGGATATCTGCCACTTGTGGGAGGGATGTAAGGAGAATTTTACAGAAACAAATTTATGTTTTTCTGTCTTCTGAACTAATGCACAAAGTTTGGAGCATAAATTGCAATGACTCCAAGGTTGAAGGGGCCAGAGAAGAATTCTTCCCACTGGCCCAAACATCCTGCAGAGTACATGCATAAAGTTTCCATCTGAACTGGTGGAAATTTTGTGTTAATCTGGGAGTGACTCTCAGCTTTCATTTCTGTGTCTGAATGGTAACTGCTGCCTGAAGAATAAGCAGAGATTGCCAGGTGGGATGGCACGTGAATCCCTGCCCCAATCCCCAGGTGGGCTCGCTGCCAAACAGCCCGCCTGGAGGACACGGCACCGGCGCTGCCGGGGGGAGTTACGGAGGAGCCTGCTCCAGCCTTTGCCCTGCCCGAGGCTGGGGCAGGGGGACGCTCTGGCCTCTCTGCAGGAGCCTTTGTGCTCCCCCTGCACTGACTCCCCGGGTGCCGGCTTTGCTGCAGGAGTGGGGACGAGCGGAGGCTCCTCACGCAAATACACGGCGTGAGTAAGCCCTGAAACAAAGAAAAATAGAGTGAAAGAGAAAAACAAATGCTGACGGCAGAGGCGCCTCCTGCTGCAGAGTGGATCCTCCTGCCAAAGGGGGGCTGCTGGCTGCCCAGCCTCGCTGCATCGGCAATACCAAGCTGAAAGCCCACATTTCGTAGAGCTGCTGGTGATGTGTGATGCTGCTCTGAGCTGATTTTTCTCTTTTAATTCTTCCCCTTAGTCAGGAACCACAGCTGGCTCTCGGACATTTGATTTCTCCTGCCCCCTGCCAGCCACCCCACATCCAGCTCCTGTTCCTGGGGACACCTGGGGCTCTCGGACATTTGATTTCTCCTGCCCCCTGCCAGCCACCCCACATCCAGCTCCTGCTCCTGGGGACACCCCACAGCCTCCTCCTGCCTCCTCTTCCCAGCCGTGAGGGTGAGGAGACCACCAGGTCTGTGCTGCCAGCTGGACGGAGAAAGAGGTGATGTCTCTGTGAGGACACTGGTGCCTGCAGGCAGCGCTTTCTGTTCCACTCTGCCATGCCATGCCATGCCTCACCTCTGTTTGCCAGGACAGGGACAGGACTGTGCTGGGAGGTGCACTTACTCAGAGCCGCGTGTCCTCTAACAGCAAACACAGGCTCTGTAGCCTTTGGGAATAAAGGGGAACACGGTGACAGTTCAGGTGTCACCCTGCTCTACAGTGTTCAACCAGCACCAATGAGGTACCCCAGACCCGGAAGCAATTTCCATTACTATGTCAGTAGGTTTTGTTTAGAGACCTCTCTGGGATGTCTGAGTGCAGATGCCACCAACAGCCACTCCTCACCCACGACAGCAGCCTGGGCGAGGAGCTGAGCCCAGGGACCGCATCGCTGCTCATGGTGAGCACTTCCATCCCTCCCTGGATGCCCCTCGTCCTGCACGTACCCCTGGGTGCCGTGGGACAGTGGGGTGGGTTGACTGCTGGTGTCACTCTCTGAGGGGGCTTGGGAACCTCACTGCTTTCCAGAAGGGAGCTCTGGTGGAGCTGGGGAGCAGCAGAATGTAGGCAGCTGAAAGAAGAGGACGGGCCAGCCCTTGGCCACCGTGGGGATGTTACCTTGTGAAACGTCAGGCAGTCCTTGTTCTCCACCTTGTCCCTGCTCCTCAGGTCAAGGCCGTAGAGAGCTCTGCCCAGGGGCGGTGGCAGGGGCAGCTGCTTGATGACCTGCACGGAGCTGGCGGGGAAGACGCCGCTGACGCCGTTGACCTCCCCCAGGTACCAGTTCTCGTCCAGCTGCCGGAGCAGCAGGATGATGTCCCCCTTGTTGAAGCGCAGCTCCCCGGGGTTGTGCCCTCGGTAGGTGTACAGCGCCTTGGCTCGCGGGACCTGCGGGACGAGAGGCAGCCCTTGCAGTTTGTCCGTGACAGCGATGCTTAACATAGACAGAATTCCCCAAAAGCATTTGTAATTACTGGGAAAAATTTAGAGGTCTAAGGCTTAAGCATGCGTTTATTGGGATTAACTACCCACATCCTTTCTTGATGTCTTTTTCTAATGAAGACAAGCTCCAAAATACTTACACTAAATTTGTATCAAGATGAAAAGCAGGCTGAACTTGTTTAAGAATATTAAGAAACAATTAATGCATTAAACTAGTCTTCCCATGAGATCTTATTGCCTGCTCTAAGGTAATATAATGTCTAACGCAATATCTATTTTAATGAACCCAGGTATTTCTATGTCAGAATGACCGGAGGTCGCAGCCACCGTCCAGCTGACCCAGGGCTGTCACCTGCAGTGGCCGAGTGTGGGTCTACAACCCAACGGGAACAAGGTGAGTGCGGGTTCTGCTCTCCTGTGGTTATCAACAGCCTGTGGCCGTGACTTTATTTCGGTCTTTAATCTGGGTTACAGGAAGAGAGGCTTCCTAATGTTATTGTTGTTGCAGCATAATATGAGAAAGGAGAGATATACCAAAACCAGAAGAGATGAGGGAACTTTGCCATCTTGATTCTCATCAAAATGAAGCTGCAAAGTCAAATAACTGCTATACTGACCCTTATCTATAGTAGAAAACTCAATTTAACACACAATGCCAGAGCTCATTTAGACAGCTGAATAAACCCGAGCTGTGCCTGGCCTCGGTGCTGTGAACCCACGAGGTGCGGCTGGAGGGCAGCCTGAGGGGCGTTTTTCTTGGGAGAAGTGCAGATAACAATGTTTTCTGTGCTCTCTGTAGCTGTTCTCGGTGTGCATCTGGGGGGGCCTGGACGCTGGGAACCAGCAATGCTGAAAGGCTCGATCTCTACATACTTGTGTTAAGGAGAGGATGGAGATACCTTCAGCACATCTGTTGTACTGGGTCCCACACAAGTGCATCCTAGAGCCAATGAGCAACCTGTGTTTGTTTATGTTTATTGCCACATGCAACATCACAAACCTATAAGAAATGCAAAACACTGAGAGTTAAGCTCTGTCCTTCTGCTGCCCCTTTGCCTGGGAGCGAGTGCTGCTCCTTTAACTTCTGCTCAGCCCTGCAGTGCTCGGGCCGTTTAACTGGGGATCATTGTATGTCCCTTCCAACTGAAATATTCTGTTCTGTGCTATTCTGTGTTACTCTGTGCTATTCTGTGTGCTTGAATGCTGTGAGAAGGTGTGCTGCCTTCACAGGAGGGCTGCCAGCACAACCCTTGTCCCGACATCTCTACAGACAAGTTAGCAATAAAGGTTAGACGGGAAAATATCCTCCCGTGGGTTTGTGAAGCCTCGGTCACTGAACAATGTGGCTCTCATCCGTACACAGGGGTTCCATCCCGCACCGGGTGAGCGGTCCTTCCAGTCTCACATCCAACTGGAAACAGCCACCGAGACAAAGTGCTCGGCTCTGCCTCTGGGAGAGATTTCTCCTGAGCTTGAGGCAAGCAGTGATTGCTTTGGGCATGAAGTGAGGCAGCTGTAGCTATTTTAAACTATTGTCTGAGCTGTTAGAGCTGCAGATACTGCTCCTTCCTTGAATTGTACCAGATTCTTGGGTTCAATAGTATCTTGTGTTGTGGTTCATTTTTTTAGTCCCTTTTGATGAACTGTTTGGCTGTTTCTGGCTTTGGGAGCTTCCCTGCAATTGGAAGGAATCTGGAATTTTAAGGGGAAAAACCAAATCCTGAGCTCCACATCTATCCTCTTGGCTGGTAGCACAGCTGCAGGAGATACATGCTGAGAAAAAGGGAAGCCAGGATTGTCCCCAGCTCTAGAGCCTTGACCAGTTTTAAGCAGAGGTGCTGGTGCCTGGGACAGCCAGGGACAAGAGGTTTTTTAGCTGCTTCTGTGCCAGACTCTGCAGATCTACATGGTCCTTCTCCACTCTTTGGGATTTGTAACATCATGTGTGGGACTTCAGGAAAAACCTTTGCAGCTGATTTAGGTTTTGGGAAGGGAACACCTTCCAGCACTCCCAAACACTGATGCTTGGTAGGAAAAGGGAACTGAGAAGAAAAAAAATTTATGTAGTGTGTTTACTTCAAAGCATTTGAAACAGGAAACAATTAGTTGAATGTTTAGTTCTAATTAACTCATTTTGTCTGTTAATTTGTGCTAACAGTAAGTGCACGCACTTGGCTTAGTGACACCCAAAGTACGTTGCTGGGAAAAAGGAAGATGCTGGAAGTGAGACATCTGGCCAGCTCTGCTCTCCATCAGTGCCCTGGAACAGGGAGTGTGCCAGGGCCAGGGCCACAGAAACTCTCCCTGAGCCCGCGCCTGGACGGACACACGTTCCTGTGCAGAAAAACAGTGTGGGAATAGAGGATTATGGGAGGGGCAGCTCTCCATCGGAAAGACTCCGAGACAGACGCTCTGGTGTCAAACAAGGACAAGGAGCACAGAGAGAGAGACCTTTGATTGCCTCAGGAGCGACCAGAAAACAAACAAGACTCATGCAAACTGCAAAAACAGGGCTTGTAAAGGAGGAGCACAAACGTCCGGGGATGGTGAGAGAATGGTTCCACGGGAAAATAAAGCAAAACATAAAAGGCATCAAGAACGAGTTATGGAAATGTATTAAAAACAAGAGAAACTCTGAAGTGAAATGCATGCCTACAACTAACTGGGAAAAGTGAACAGCAGTGGGCTGCTCAGAGTCTGGAATATTCTCTCTTCAGCAAGAAGTAGGATGAGATGAGACAGGAGGGCAAGCTGGAATGAATAGCTGAAAGCATGTTCAGGACAGTAGGGCTGGCTGAAACTCACCCCTCCTTTCTAGGGTTCTAATTAACAAAGCGTTAGTCTAGTACTCTGCTAGCAAAGAGGAAGTGTATTTCAAAAAGCCATAGCAATACAAAGCGTTTGTTTTGGAACCGACTGAAATTTACTTGAAATTAACTTTTTCAAGATCTTCATCAAAAAAAATCATTCAGCTCAAGTAAATTTTTAAGGCTCAAGTCAGATTTTTCCAAAGTCTGTCTTTGCTGCTTGGTTTGGGTTTTTTTTTTATATTTTGTTTGTCTGTTCAGATACTGAGCCAAAAATATCGCATTGATTTCCCAACTTTATTTAGGATATAAACCAAGCCTTTATCTACCCACACGGAGCAGCCGATGTGGTGTTTACTGCACAGGGCGCTCTCCTGCTTTGCCGGCCTCTCGCAAAATAGATCTTCAAGCTGAGGTTTTCAGAAAGACGTGCATTGGGGTCATCGTTTTTTAATGTGTTCATGAGCCGTAGGAAGGACAAGGAAAAACAGCAGAGCCCCCTTGCAGCACACCCCCCCGGGGCTGGGGGAGCAGCAGGAACCCGCTGCTGCTGGTGGCTCCTCCTGGTGTGAAACAGGCAGCTGTGGGCGTATCTCAGATCTGATTTTCTTTCTCAGGCTTCAGCTGGTTTCTGTCCAGTCTTGGATGTACAGGATCCTCTGCGAGGCATCTGATTTGCTTTATTCAAAGTAGGTTAATTGCGATGGCAGAAACTGGGGTGCTAATTAAGCCTGGCGATAAAGACAAGGTGCCTGGAGGTAGCTGGCTACGGGCTGAGGGCAGAGGGAAAGGCTTTTCCCGGGTGAGGATGCGGTCCTGGGCGTGGGGTGAGCAGGGACTTGGTTTGTTTGGTGGATCTACCTCCCGTTAGCATGTCCAGTTGCTTTTGGTTAACCCAAGGCAGCATTTTCGTTTAGCGGGGTGCCAGCAAACTCTTCAGCCAAATATTGTCAATTTGGGCACACTCCCTGGCTGCAGGGCTCAGCGTCTGCCTTTACATCAGCTGGGAAACCACTGTGACAAACTCTGTGAAAAACTCAGCTAACGGTAGTTGCAAATTTGGGTAGAATATTTGCTGCCTGGTAGCAGAGAGGCAGCAACTACAAAGAAGGGACCTCCCTGGTGAACCATGGGATCACAGAATCACAGAACGCCAGGGTAGAAGGGACCTCAAGGATCACCTGGTCCAGCCTTTCTTGGCAAAAGCTCGGTCTAGACAAGATGGTCTAGACAAGAAGGGAAAAGGCTGTTTTTCCCGTGATGCCATGCAATACTACAGCTACAGTAGCAATGCTAAATTAAATAAATAAAAGAGAGAGGAGAGTCTTTTATGTTCACCTCTGTGAAAGCCTCTAAAGCCAGTGGGAAGCTGAGCAGAAGAAGGGGATGCCACAGGACATGGAATTGCTCACTGCTACTTCTCAGGCGACTGAGCAGACGGGGACCAACAGGATGTTTTGCCAAGACCTTTGGGCCAAGGGCAGCCAGTGCTCCTGAACCCAAACCCGGGGGGGTTTGGTGCTGAGGAAATGCTTTTTGTCTGCCTGCGGTGCCCGTGGCTGCTGCAGGGAGCCTGGCCTCTCCCGGAGAAACCTTTCCCTCTCTGTTTTCTGGGTGGTTGTAACTTTTTCAACTCGGTCTCATTTTTCCTGATTTTTTTTTTTCCCCCCTCTGTTTTCATGCCTGAGTGAGACACGACCCTACCATCATGCCCCCAGCAGGTATTTCAGGCTCTCCCAGTGGCGAGAGACCCCCCCCCTTGCCGTGGGGGTGCCTGCGGAGCCGCTGGGAGAGCCCCGGGCGGTGGAGCCAGAAGCTCCCTCTCCAGGTGAGATGCTTTTCTTTCCAGCAGGGGTGGTCGTGGCAGAGGTACCTCAACACCTTGTCCCCATTCTTAATGGATTTGAGGTCGATGAGGGAGAAAAGATTATTATTTTTTTTTTAAATACTATTTTTGGCATTTGGCATCAGCTGTGCTAGGGCAGCCATCCAATACATCTGAGTCTCCCTCCGTACAAAACAAAGCAGCAAATTAAAAATATGTACATGTGAGGAAGCAATTCAAAGCATCTCTTCATAGCTGGGAGAAATGCACACTATAATTATCTTAAATGAGCTAGTTATAACTTCCTCGTTATTGGCAGTGGATTAATGTAAGACCACACACTCATAGCACTGGTATTTAAAAAAAAAAAAGAGAGAGAGGAAAAAGAAGAGTGTGAGGCTGGCTGGGGTGTGGGTCACCAGGGAGAAACATTACGGATTGCCAAGAAAGGAGGAAAGCCAAGCCAGGGAGCGCAGGGGAGGGCAGAGATTTCTGATGGAGGCTGTGAACACCCCTAAACTTTGTTCCAGGCTCCCCGAGGAGCAGCACGGCCCCATGGTGATGCTGTCCCTGCAGGAACAGACCCAGCCACTGCCTGCGACACCCCGGGTGAGTGGGAGGATGAGGCCAGAAACATCCTGCACCCACCTGGGCTTCATTTACTGCTTCACCTGTTTCCCAGCAAGGCTCATGGTGAATGACTGCAGCGAGACCCCGCTAATGGTGTCAGATGGGATCTGCTCCTTTCCCAGATGCTCTGACTGCGCCAACATCCACCACTGCGTTAGATGAACACATGGGATGAGTGACAGATTAATCCTAATTATTGCTGTTGATGTCCAGGGGTACTTCCTTCTGATTTACTGCATGCCAAAGGGAGGAGAGCAGGAGCTGTTTAGAGGAGTAAGCCCCAGAAGTGTTGCCTGCTGGGGACATCCTCGTTCTGGCACCAGTGTTAGACTCGGTGCAGAGGGGAGAGGTAGCCCCATGCTCTGCGTGAGCTCTGCCTTCCCTCCCACCCCAGCACCCCCATGTTTGTGCAGAAGAGCTAAGTATCCGTGCTGAGCAGAGGCAGTGATATTCCTGTAGATACATGATTTCTGTAACACATAACAGCCTCCTTGAGAGGAATGATTTATTTCTAGGATAGTGCCAGGAAGAAGAGAAATCCAGTGCTGGATGTCTTCCAGTTTGATTTTTCTCTCACTGGGTTCTGTGGGTTCAGTTTATGAGTGTTTTTTGATTTTTTTTGCATTCTGGAGCTGTTTGGAGCAGGACTGGTGTCAGTGGGAGGGGACTGGCACCCGGGGCAGTGCAGGGGTGCCAGAGCCAGCATTCGCCAGGACTTGCTCTTCAGGGAAACACGTTGAATTGGATCCTGTGAACCTTGAAACTCCATCGCGCCGTCTCTTCGCCTGGGTAGCAGGAGTCCAAGTGCAGCCTAAACATTAAACTGAGGTGCTCGAAAGAACCTCCCACCCAGAAAGGTGCCACTGTGGAGCAAAGAGTCAACACTGAAGGATGGAGGAAGCTCTTCCTGCCAACGCTGTCTCCTTTTCTTCAAAGAACTGCACAGTATGGAGAGGTGGTAGGCAATGGGTGAGGGCATGTTTCATTGCTCAAGATCCACAAGTGAGCTGTGGAGGCATACCAGGGTGGCTGAAGAAGTGTTAGAGCATCTTTGCTCCCAACTGCAGCCTGGGGTGACCTGTCCATCTCTGCAGGGGGATGCTGCATCTTCACATGCAGAATATTCAATGTATGTAGGAGATGGAAAGTTTGTGTCCTGACCACGCTGCGCAGGCAGGGAGGGTGGTGAGGATGGGATGGCCAATGGTCCCCACTCTCGGGGACTGTAGGTGTTAACGGAGGCAGCTGCTATGCCAGGTGCTGGGCAGCGCAGCCGTGAGTGATTTCTGCCCTGGAGAGCAGGTGATCCAAAGGGACCGCTCAGGAGAAGGGTGGGGAGATGGTGCAAATGCCATCCCTGCCTTACCCGTGGGGATGGCACAGGGGGGAGCAGGAAAGACCCACCCGGAGACAGACAGTGACTCCAGGACAGATCTGAGAGCTGACGAGCAGTGATTTACACACCGTGCATGGAGAGCTGGTTATTATCTACAGACTGACGCCAAAGGACACGCTGGCTTTTCATAAAGAGACATAATCAATAACAACTGCCATCCATTCTGATTACTAACTTTCTGAAGCCGCCTTCAGCATCCTGCCACCAACTGCCCGCATTTTGATGGGATGAATGAGCCCCACATCGTCTCCTTTGTGTGCTCTGCTAGCGCAGTTTCAGAGCTCTTTAGGATCCAGTCGGATGAAAAGAGCTATTTGAATGTAAATTAATTGCCATTACAATTCTGTTTTTCTGCTTTTCGGCAGAGGAGATAACTTCAGCCTTGTCACAGAGAACAAAACCATCAAAAGTGAACTTGTCATTTCAATCTCTTCATATAATTATATTCTGAGGATTCAGACAGTTGGGTGGTTTCTGCATTATTTCTCCCTGAGGAGGACTGCTCCATCTTCCAAGCACAAGCAGACTGTGTGAGCCAGCGAGAAGAAGTCAGTCCCCTCCTGCTCGGGCCAGTGCTGGGGCTCACCAGGTCACACAGAGCAGCTTCTGTCAGGGAGAGACTGGGCAGATGCCGCCCCAGCGATGGATGAGCCCTGGAGGAGCGACTGGCTGCCTGTTGGTAACGTCCCACGGCTCTGGAGGAGGACGGGGCTGGATCAGGCTTTACTTTGCCTGTGTGAAGCCACAAGAGAGATTTAGGTGGGCAGGAGGGGTGCTGAGGCACATGCAAGGTAGGAGTTCATAGAATCCTAGAATGGTTTCGGTGGGAGGGGACCTCAAAGCCCCCCCAGTGTCACCCCCTGCCCTGGGCAGGGACACCTCCCACCACACCAGGTTGCTCCAAGCCCCCTCCAACCTGCCCTTGAACCCCTCCAGGGATGGGGCAGCCACAGCTTCTCTGGCCAACCTGGGCCAGGCTCTCACCACCCTCACACCAAACAAGTTCTTCCCCACAGCTCAGCTCCATCTCCCCTCTTGCAGGGTCAAACCCTTCCCCCTCCTCCTAGGGCTCCCCTCCCTCATCCAGAGTCCCTCCCCAGCTTTTCTGGAGCCCCTTTAGGGACTGGAAGGAGCTCCAAGGTCTCCCTGGAGCCTTCTCTTCTCCACTTTGAACCCCCCAACTCTCCCAGCCCCCCTCATAGCAGAGGGGCTCCAGCCCTCCCAGCATCTCCGTGGCCTCCAGCCCCACTCCAACAGCTCCATGGCCTCCTTGGGCTGAGTTGGGCCTGAGCGTGGCACTGCTCCATGGCTGCCTGGTGCCAGCCCCATGTCATGGTGGAGGCGGCGCAGGGCCCGTGCAGTGTTCCTGTGTGAGGAGAGGGGGAGGCGGGGGCGGGCGCGGGGCACAGCAGGGTGATGCTGGGGACCCATGTGTTGGAGCTGCAGCGTCGGCACCAAACCTTTTCACGCCTCTTCCCCTCGTGGCTGCTGCTATCAGACATTTTGGTCTCTGCTGCAGTCAGCAATCCCAGGCAGTGGTTAAGTTGTGTGTCATAGTTTTAAGCCGCACAGAAAACAAACTGTGTCAGCCCTCGGCGTGCCCGGTCATGATGCTCTGCCTCAGCACTGCACTTCTCAGAAGTGGCTGTTTACCGGGCAGGGAGGGAACCTGTGTCCCGCGCCCCACTCCTGCTCCCGGGCCCTTTCCCTGCGCTAGGAACGGGACCAGCGCTGACGCTGCCCGCTCCCCGTGCTGTCCGGCATGGGGCAATGGCTGCTCTGCAAGCCAGCACAGCGCTGCTGGCCATCAGGGGATGAGGGATGGCACTGGCGGCTGTGAGGGGATGAGGGATGGCGCAGGTGGCCGTGAGGGAATGAGGAATGGCACCTCCCACCCCCTGGGCAGCAGGCCTGCAGAAGGTGGATGTCAGTGCTGTGTCCCCACAACCATTCAAAGCTGCCTGGGCTCCTCTGCACCTTCTGATTGCCCAACAACTCAGGATTTAGTTTACACATTATTTCAGGGAAATGCCTAATGAGTGATGGTACGTCTCTCCATTAGCCTGCCACCTCCGCTTAGTGGCCATTTTGATGGTAAATTAATGACTGTCATGAAGTGATGGCCACCAGCTGGGCCTTGCCTCAGCCGTTGGCCAAGACCAGGGAGGTCACTGTCCGCCTGGCCTTGGGTGTTCTCATCTTGCCTTGGGGCTGGCAAAAGGAGCTGCTCTCACCTTTCTGTATTTATTTCCATTTCCTAGGGCAGACCGACTGACTGCAGCCCTGTTACACAAGCCAATGCAGTTCCCCAACAGAGGAGGCTTGCTCCTTCCTCCCTGCAAAGCCAGGGAGAAATTCTGGGCCCATCAGTTGCTCAGGGCCCAAAGAGAACCCTTTTAAAGGGGCTGAAGGAGTTTGAATGCCTGAAAAGTAATAACAGCAGAACAAAGTCCAGCATTGTTGGAAGTAGATGATCTTCAAGGTCCCTTCCAACCCAAACCATTCTATGATTTAAGAGCAAGCACCGCAGTTTTCCTTGTGAGAAGGGCAGAGGCGAAGTAAAGGACGGCAAGACAAGGTTTAGTTGGCAGCAGTGAATGGGGCTTCTCCCTGCCAAGACCCAGCCTCGCCTCTCTCAGGATATTTTTCAAATCCAACCCTGGCACACCAGCAGAGCTTCACCTCAATGGGCCTCTTTCTGCTCCTCCTCTCCCTTCCCTCTGGAGGGGAAAGTTGCAAACTCAGGCCAGTGACCATCTCTGTGGACCCAGGGATGGTGGCCAACTGCCAGCGGGGAAACTCTGCAAGAGGAGGAGGGCTCTCAGACTTTCAGCCTCCTCGCTGACCACGATACTCGGCAGGTGAACGCGCACACTGAGAAACCCTGTTCTATTCCTGACTTGCCATCTGAGCCTGACTCATTGCCTTGGTAACAAATTAAAACACTTTTATGTGTTTGCAGCTTGGTACCTTATTTTGTAAAACCAGGGAAACTGGCTCCTGATGTTGGCCGTGGAGGTCCTTTGGCTTTCCCCCGCCCCGAGGAATCGCCAGGAATTGCTGTGCCGGTTGCCCTGGCAAGGAGCCTTGCACCCACCAAAAGCGCAGAGTGGGGTTTGCTGGTAACTCAAAGAGACCTCAACAGTCGTGGGGTGATCATGCACCCACCTCAGCCCTCTGCAAAACCGCCCCTCAACACCATCCAGCCTGGCTTCAGTATGACAGCGCTGCCTCCCATCTACAGCACAACCGGGTGTTTCATCCTCCATCTCATCAAAAAGGTATTTTCTTTTTAAGCTTTCTGCAGGGAACCGGACCTACCCCTCATCCCCTGGCTCCAGGCTGTGCTTCTGTCTTAGGCCACTCTCCCAGAGAAAGGAAGGAACGGCTGGGTGTCCTCCTGTGTGTAACACCAGCCCTTCCTCATGGCTGCAGCTACTGCAAAGCCTCTCTTCTTGTTGCACACACAGCTTCTGGGGTGTGTGTTGTCGGGCAATCTGTATCACGGTGACCTCACTCTCTTTTTGCAGTAGATAAAAGTGCGAAAACTACATGCAAAGGAGAAAAGTGGCATTCGATGGTATCCTGTACGAGGTGCCAGCCAGCACTGCAGAACCAGTTCCTTGGGTCACACTCAGCGTTTTCCAGAATGAGACAAACCCTGGTGGGATGTGGCTGTGGAGGTAACTGGGGCAAGCCCTTTCTCCCAGGAGGTCAGGAGACCACACAGAACTTTTAGCCAAACAAAGCAGCTCCATTGCCAGCTGAGGGACACTGTGGCACGAGCAGCCACCACCCACAGCAGCAGCACCTCCTAAGGCAGAGCCAATGTGCCAGAGTCCTGGGTTTGCAATGCTTGGATAGTGCTTGTCCAGCCCAAGGTGACATGCCACGCATAGTGAGGTCATTATTTTGACTGTACAGGAACCACTGGGGTTTTTCTGGGGGTGGGAAGGGTGGTTTGCACAATGTGTGGGTCAGGAAACGTGTTTGCCTCCACTGGGCGCAAATATGAAGGTTGCTTTGAATAAGGTTTCAGAAAGATCCAGCAATCCAAGTCCTGTCTGTCAAATCCAGAGAGGAGTTGGAGATGTTTCTGGAGGAGAAGAAAATACCAAGACACAGGCACTAAATATAGACGTCCGTGTGAAGGTGGCGACGTTGGAGTGCGGTGTATTTTTATCCCATTAGAGGTGTTATCTGTCTATCTCCCATGAAATGCTGGAGGGGGGTGTTACAGCACTTGCTTCATGCAAAGAGAAAATAGCCGGAGTCACAGTTAAATCTGTGTGGTCTGTGTTTTCCAAAGGCGAGCTGTCATACTCGGGATTTTTCTCCTCTGGCTCACTGCCCCGTGTTTGTTGCATGACAAAGTTCATCATCCAAGTAGCTGTTTAGTGGCCGGGGTGGATTTTTGCTGTGTGCAGGGTAGGGTTTAGGTCTGCTGCTCATCAGAGACCTACGGGAGCTCTGTGTGTGCCTCAGCACACACCATCCCGTTGGTCCCTCCCCGTGCTTGGCGTGCGTTGGGGCTGAAGCCAGATAAGAAGGATGCTTCAGCACAAGACGTAACCACATCTGGCACATGCCAGGGGCGGTTCCTAAGAGTTCAAAGGCTTCAGCGTAGATTATTTACGCATTCACCTCCTAGCAAATCCTTTTATTCTTAAATTCCAGACAGTTTATTACGTGGAGATCCTGAAAATCCAAAGACTTGTTCTCTCTGCATAGATGCTAAAGATCTTAAAACCTGGCCTGACGCCCCGGGAGCAGGTACAGGGGAGTGGTCCCTGCCTGGTACAGATATGCACAAACCCACACCGTGCCCACCCCGTGTGAGTACGTAGGATGAGGATTCAAATGTGATTTAAGTACTAGCAAGTAAGGAATAGTTTGGGATGGGCTGTAAATAGAATATTCCCTGGTTTTTAAGGACTGGCTCTGTGGAATTCCTGTCTGAAAACTGAGTATTGTGCTACTGCTAATTCAGCAGCTCTGCTGGAGCCTGCTCGCACGTCCCCCTCAGAATGGTACGGGTTCTTGGCTTGCTTGGTGGCAAGGGGATTTATTCTACTTTTTTGTCTTCATGGATGCTCATGGGGATGAAGAGCAAAAAGCTGGCAAGGAAACACCTCTGCTGAGAAGAGAAACTTTGATCAAACTTGTGATTTTCTCAGCTCCATGGAGTAAAGGAAGTTTATTTATAGAACGGCTTCTTTGGTAAACACAAAACACGTCCTGTATCCTGCTTTTGATGGCGTATCTGGCTGCAGCACAGCACGAGGCACCTGAATTTTATTTGCTTTGTAGCATGAAGCAGTGTATGGTATTAGTGGTAATTAGCAGACTACGCAGATTGGGGCAGTCTTTCTCTGGAGAGCACACAACCTTCCACTGCAGTTGCAAATGAATTCTGCATTGTCAAGTACCTGAGAAGCAGCTGTGGTGGGACCAGCTGGGGTGGGATTATCTCTGGTGGGATTAGCTGGGGTGGAGCAAGATTGCATGATGGCTATTTTTTGATTCTTGACAAAAAGCATCTTTTCCAGGGATCAGATCATCTGGTGGCCTCTGCTCTCCCAGGTTACTTCACAGGAATCCCCTGAAACTCATGTGCTCCATGGTGTGGGAAGAAGTCACCCGTATCACCATCTCTTAGCACCGCATCCCCACTGCCGCCCGGTGAAGTGACTTCAGGGGAGGGTCCACGGGCATCAGCATCCCCCTGCAGCACCCGGGGTAACGCCTGGGCCCGTCCGCAAGTATTTAAAACCACCAAAACCAAACTGTGACCAATACGTCACATTCTTCACCTTGCAGCCGAGGATTCCAAAGTGTTTTAGGATTAATTAACTAATTAAGTCTAAGAGCATTTCAGTGTAACGCGTTTTTGTATCCCTCCATGGAGGCATGGGAAGTCAGGGCTGTCCTGGCGCTGCAGGAGCCTGTCCCCAGCCCTCACTCACTGCTGCTGCCGGTCCCCAACCGTTTGGTTTTAAAACGCTGTTGGGAGATGCAGAGTGAGAGATGTTCCCTTTATATAACACCAGCAACAAGTTCCTACCTGTCCTGAGAACTTGTAAAGAAACGTGAAATGGGTGAGAGAGAAGAAAAGCGTATTTGTGCTTTTGTATCTGGGGCTGGGGGAGTTCAGTTGGAGAAACTACAAACCTTCTCATTTTCAGCTGAAATGTGGCCCATGATGGCAGTGGCTGGAAACTGCCTCTCACTGACGGTTTGTACCTCACACGAACGGCACCAGGACCCCCCTGTAGCCCCCCTGGAGAGCTGGATCCCAGCGAGGGCCCTCGCTGGCCACAGCTCTGCTGCTCGCGGGAGCCCAGCTGATGGCCCAGGGCCCCGTGGCGCAGGCTGCCGAGCCGCACCGGTCCCTGTGGAGGGGCCCCAGGACTGTGCTCGCCCTCGCCCCGCTCCGCTCTCCAACCGGGCCCTGCTCCCCCAGGGGGTCCCCTCCAGCCCCACAGCGATCCCCCCGCAGGTGCCCCCAGCACAGAGAGAGGACCTGTCCCGTGCCTGCCTGCCGTTCAGAGCTCGGCAGTTCTGAAATAAAGCTCTGAGATTTACCAGCCATTTGAATATTGGATACCAGGCTTTTGGATATTACCAAGAGGCTTGTAGAGACATCGTGCAGAAGAATAGCTCAGGTGCGAGAGATGGAAACCCGGGAATATGATGCAGGAAAGGTGAGGCCACAAGTCAGTCTCTCCCCCAAAATCAGTCTGAGCCAAGTTCCTTTAACAGGTCTAATACCGTGTCCTTTCTATTTAAGAAAAGCTTTTGTACTGTTAACAAAATTGACAGAAACAACTTAGAATTTTAAAATGAGCCTAGTAAATAATCCCTAGGTAAAGTTAATAGGTCGAGCTTAATATTTTTCATTAGTGAACCTCAAAGAATTTTGCCAGGGACGTAGGCATCATTAGATGCTTTCCTTTCTTTCCAATGGCTGGGGAAACTGAGGTGCAGTGACGGGAAATACCTTTCTCCACCTCTAACAGTTACAGCTTTGCAATTACTGACTTAATTGCTATCAGTGAAAACGAGTATATTGCCCAAAAGTCGAAGTGCCTGAAATGTGCCCCAAAAGCCAGGAAGCACCTGAAAACTGAGGAAAACAGCTGCTGTGGAGTTTTTCTAAGGAGAAGGGCAAGCTGGTTCTGTCTCAGCCCGAGAGTCAATGCAATCGCTGTTGTGCTGAACTCAAAATAGTCAAATATCACAAGGAAACAGCAGCCAGATTTGCAAACAAAACGATCTCTCATACTTCAAACATTTCTGCAACACTGCTAACAGGAAAGTTTCATAGCTCTCGGCACATGAGCAGACAGCTCTCTGTGCTCACGGACAGAGTAAAGGACGAGGACGCTCCTTACCCCTTCCATGTGGATCCTGGGACTGGTGGCCAGCCGGTGCTGGTGCAGCTGCAGCGCCCTGGGGACCCTCCGCAGGGAGGCGGGGGAGGACAGGACCCCCGACCTCTGGATGGAGCCAAACCTGGTGATGTTTTGTCCACACCTGACTCCATCCAGGAGGCGAATGAGGAGCAGGTTGGAGGGCAGCTGCTCGATGCTGCAGAGCACGAGGGTCCTGCACTCGGGGCACCTCAGCTCCTTCTGGGACTTCAGGATCCTCTGCAGGCAGGGCTTGCAGAAGGTGTGCTGGCACGGCAGTACCTTCGCAGTGGCATCGAGCTTTTCAAAGCACACAGGGCACTCCAACAGGTCAAGGAGAGCTAAATCATCCATCTTCAGAGGAGGGCTCCGTCAGGAGCAGAGCTGGGGCCATCCACACGCCACATCCACCGGAGTGGGCTGAGCCACCTTCCTGCGCCAGCGAGAGCGGCACGGCGATGCCGGGCTCAGCCAGCCATCCTGCACGGAGGGAGAGGGAGGAGGCAAAAAGAGCAGAACTCGGCTGCTGGAGTATGTAATACATCCCACCTACATTGCAAAGCAGTGCCTCACCAGCCAATTTGCAAATGTATACTTTGCGCTCGCATCCAAGTTTGCAGTGAGTCACGGTGAGTCAGTTGGCGCCCGGGGACGGCGCTGGGGCTGACGCCAGAGGCAGGAGCCCCGGGTCCCCGCCGGGTCCCGCAGCTGGGCCGGGCAGCGCTGGCCGCAGCAGGGCCGGCGGGCGCAGCCTCCCTCACGCTGCACAGTTGGCTTTAGTGCTCCCCGCCTGCGGATCGTAACTGACAGGGCAGGAAAAAATGCACCAGCTCAGGAGATGAGAGTCCCCGATAAACATCAGACTGGACCTGTTTACGCTGGGCTCGGGCTGAGGGCAGCCGCTCGGGACACACGTCCCTCCTGTGCACACCTACACACCACCTCCCTTCCCAGGTGGGTCCCAGTGAAGCTCCCTCTGCCCGTTTTGACAGCAGTTCTATAAAAAGTCCTCCAAACACAAACACTCCGGAGGTACCTGGCAGAGCGGCGAGGCGCTCCGCAGTGCCATCCTCGCCCGGTTTGGCTGCCTCAGCTCTCTGAAGCAACCCGAGAAGATTATTCCTCCCACAGCCTGAAGTCACTCAACCTGTTCAGCTCCCCCGGTGCCGCACGCCGCCTGCGACTCCAGCGCACACCACCCCGGGATTCAAGCCCGGACTTGCGGCCCCGCAGCACAGACGGGAGGCCCCGCGCCCGCCGCGTGCCGGGGGCACCCATGGCAGCCCTCGGTGGCTGCTGGGACGGGCAGCCTGTGCCAGACCCGACCCGGCCTCGGCTCTCTGTGCCCGGTGCTCGATACAGGGAGCGACTGCTCCAGCCGCTCACTCCTCCGGATGCTCGCCCCAACAGGGACCGCTCTGTCCCAAAAACCAAACAGCGCGTGTTTGGGCTGGGGCTGACTCCTCGTGCGACTTCCAGCACCATCCCCACGGCTCCAGCAAGCTCCAGTTCCCACTCCCGGGCCACTGGGGGATGGCTTCGTGCTGGGCTGAGACACCATAACCGGGTACGGAGCGTGTCCAGCTCCCGGCAGCGCTCCCCGCGGGAAGTGTGCCCGTGGGCTGCAGTGAGACCCCAGCCCAACTCCAGCCAGGGTCTGACGCAGGCACCTTCTCACCCCAGAGAGCACCGACCCCGGCAGGGGAAGCCAAGGCACATTTCACAGTATCTGCAATTTGCATTCACTTTATCAGCTGAATTCCTATCTGAGGTCTGCCCTGCTTGCACGTACCCGTGCATTGCCCAAGGAGAGAGCAGTGTGTGCAGCAAACAGCCAAGAGCGTTTCCCTCACAGCCCCTGCCATAGCTCAGTCCTGTGGCTCCATCCCACACGTACAGGTGTTAGAGGAGCAGACTGCGAATCCGCAGGAACGGTTTCTGCTCCATCCTCTAACAGATTCTGCCCCAGACTGCACTCACTGCCCTGCTCTACCTCAGCAGGACTCCTTCAGAAGTACAGACTGGAAATGGTGGGGTTTTTTCCAACACCCCCCTGCCCCAACTTTGTCAAATAAAAGTTTTTTCTTTTTATTTTTTTTTTGTTTTTTTAATTTCTTTCCTAAAATGGTGGCCATTTGGCTAAATTAAACTGTTGACAAACATCTTCAGGATAATGCAAGAAACCAGTGACCTCACTCCGTTTCATCTCAGGTTTCCTTTTACTTTGGTATTTCTTTGTAGTCTGTTGTACGCTGGTTGGTGCTGGGCTGAGTGTGCACTTTCTGATGAATGATATTGCAAATAACATCTCCTCATCTACCCATGTTTTTAAATGCAATGTGTGACATAAACTACATTGAAAACAAAGGGCTTGAAGGTTGTTTTTCTTTTTTACATATTCTTCCCTATTTGTGCCCTGTGAGTAACACTCATGTATTTTCATCTGGTTAGAAAGGAAACAGCATTATGGAACAGCTCGCAGTGGGCAGGTGGTGGAAATGAAGCTGGCGCGACTTCCAGCACCATCCCCACGGCTCCAGCAAGCTCCAGTTCCCACTCCCGGGCCACTGGGGGATGGCTTCGTGCTGGGCTGAGACACCATAACCGGGTACGGAGCGTGTCCAGCTCCCGGCAGCGCTCCCCGCGGGAAGTGTGCCCGTGGGCTGCAGTGAGACCCCAGCCCAACTCCAGCCAGGGTCTGACGCAGGCACCTTCTCACCCCAGAGAGCACCGACCCCGGCAGGGGAAGCCAAGGCACATTTCACAGTATCTGCAATTTGCATTCACTTTATCAGCTGAATTCCTATCTGAGGTCTGCCCTGCTTGCACGTACCCGTGCATTGCCCAAGGAGAGAGCAGTGTGTGCAGCAAACAGCCAAGAGCGTTTCCCTCACAGCCCCTGCCATAGCTCAGTCCTGTGGCTCCATCCCACACGTACAGGTGTTAGAGGAGCAGACTGCGAATCCGCAGGAACGGTTTCTGCTCCATCCTCTAACAGATTCTGCCCCAGACTGCACTCACTGCCCTGCTCTACCTCAGCAGGACTCCTTCAGAAGTACAGACTGGAAATGGTGGGGTTTTTTCCAACACCCCCCTGCCCCAACTTTGTCAAATAAAAGTTTTTTCTTTTTATTTTTTTTTTGTTTTTTTAATTTCTTTCCTAAAATGGTGGCCATTTGGCTAAATTAAACTGTTGACAAACATCTTCAGGATAATGCAAGAAACCAGTGACCTCACTCCGTTTCATCTCAGGTTTCCTTTTACTTTGGTATTTCTTTGTAGTCTGTTGTACGCTGGTTGGTGCTGGGCTGAGTGTGCACTTTCTGATGAATGATATTGCAAATAACATCTCCTCATCTACCCATGTTTTTAAATGCAATGTGTGACATAAACTACATTGAAAACAAAGGGCTTGAAGGTTGTTTTTCTTTTTTACATATTCTTCCCTATTTGTGCCCTGTGAGTAACACTCATGTATTTTCATCTGGTTAGAAAGGAAACAGCATTATGGAACAGCTCGCAGTGGGCAGGTGGTGGAAATGAAGCTGGCCAGCTGGTTCTGTGCACGCCAGGGAATCCTAATTTCCAGCTCAATCTGGGATGGGAGTACTCACTTTTTCCTAAACTTTCAGGGCCGGTCTGCTCTCCCTGCACTGTCCAACTGAGACCGGGGGACTGAACCCCAGCAGGTGCTGCCCCAGCACCCGGCCACCCCGGAGGCACCTCGGGAGGACCCTGGCCATGGGACCCAGCGGTGCTGGGCACTCCTGGGGGGTCCAGGGGTTCTGGAGAGTTCCAAGGCAGCAGTTACTCCCTGGGCTCCCCGAGGGGCTGGGTCTTCCCCTCTTCAGTGACGAGTGGCTGTGGAAGCACACCGTGCTGTGCCATGCTGTGCCATCTCCTGGGAATGCCAGTTTGTCAAAGCTCTGGGCAACCTTTTCCCTGAGGCTGGGAGTGGCTCCCTCTGCCCACCCGGGGCTCGCAGGGATGGGGGCTTTTTCCAACCAGGAGTTTCTAAATTCCTGGCACAGCGAGGCTCTGATCTCGCTTGCAGTCCCCGGGTTCTGCTGCAATATAGAAGCCGATGATGCTGACACTTAGCATTTATATAACACTTTAAATCTTCAAAGCACTTTCCAAATGCTAATTCATCTGTGGAACGCCCCTCGGGCTAAGCATCACCCTCATTTTACATGGAGAAAACCAGGAGAGGAGGCCACACAGCATATCAATGTCCAATTTGGGATGGGGATGTGAGGCTTTCCTGGTTCTCCACACTCAGACCCTCCCACTGAACTTTATTATCTGCCACCGCCTCTCCCTTGCAGCGCGTCTCCTCATCGGGGTTAAAAAAGAAAGGCAGAGCTAGAAAGGTGCTAGTGCTTCCCTTTCATTTGAAAAGTCTCTGTTTGATGCCGGTGCTGTAATTAACTCCAGGCGGGATGCAGCGGGGAGCCCGGCCGGAGGAGGCTGCTCCGCGGGCAGCGCTGGGCACGGCCGGCGTCGCTGCTGCTGCCCCGGCCCCGCTGGGCACAGGGGCCCAATCCACCTCTCCTGGGCAGGGACACCTCGTGCCCAAGGGATGAAACCACTGAAGCAGGTATTGCGAGAGTCTTTTAATCAGAGCGCTTTATCACGAAGCTGGAGATTGGGAAACAGCATTGAGCACAGAAGGAGCCGTTCTGCTTGGATGTGCCCGCTCTCTCCTCGGGCTGCGCACACGGGGCTCCCCAGGGAGCCGCGTCCCTCGGCTGCCCCCACCTCCAAAGGCAACTCGAATGGATCCCAAACCAAACAGCAAATAGATTTTGTCCCCATGGTCCTGCAGGAGTCATGCTGTTTTTTCCTGATGGGGCAGGTGTCGGTGTGTACCTGTGTGTCTGTGGCTCGGGGCAGCCTGTGCCTGGAGCGGGCAGGGGGCTCAGCAGCGCTTCCAGGGGGGGCTTGGCACCTCGCAGGGGATGCCACACGCCTCCTCTGCCGGGGAAGAGGGACCTTTCAGGCTGTTTTTAGCTGTTTTAGGGCAGGGAGAGGGGGTGCCTCGTACAAGCTGCTACGAATAATAGATCTGAAGCCAACAGCTTGTCCTCCTGCCCACCCACAGACACAGCACCCCGTGTCAGTGCCAAAGAGGGGCAAACGGCAGGTCCTGCCTGTGCCCCCAGACCCCGAGGGCTGGGACAGGGAGGGGGGTGTGTATGTGTGTCCCCAGCTCGGGGTTGCTCTGCTGCTCAGATCCCCTGCGGCCAGTGTGGCATCAGACAGCACAGCACCTGCCAGTGCAGCATCGGCCAGCGCGGCATCGGCCAGCACAGACTTGGCCAGTGTGGCATTGGCCAGTGTGGCATTGGCCACGCACGGCCGCAGCGGTGGATTTTACACACGTGATCTAATGCTAATCTAGAGGAGCTGCACATTTATTAAATATGTTGCATTTGCTTGAAGACCTCGTCAGGGCAGTGTGAATGTGCAGGGATGAGCAGAGCACAGGGGCCCACAGCCAGCAGAGCAAAAGCCTCCCTAAAACCTTCCATCTCTCAAGCCCACCCCTGGACCCCTCTGCCATGTCCTGGGCGGGCAGCCCTGCTCCCACCACCCCACTGCCCACCCTCGGGGGGCACACGGCAGAGGTGAACCTACCAGCAGCTGGATACTATGGCTTTCCTTCACTTTTTTCCCTTTCACAAGGCATGCATCAGCTGGTGGGTAAAGGCCAAACACTGAGACTGTAAGAGGAGTGGTTTGGAGAGCTATTTATTAATTGTAGGGACAGCTGAATGCTGTATTTTGCCCACAACAGCCTTGTGCAGCCTTGCTGTTGGGTAACACGAGGGCTTCAGCCGATTCTGAAGGAGCTGGAGCAGAACGGTGCCTATCCAGAAATAGAGAAGTATTTTTAAATGTAATTTATTCACTGATTTTCCTTAAGACAGATTGTTATGTGTTTGTTGATGTGTCATTAGAAGTAGCTGGTGGTGGAGCTGGGCTGAGCAGCAGCGAGCGGACGGGCATCATCCTCCCTGCACCCGGGGAGGTCACCTGGGCCACCTCTTCCTCATCCTCTTTCTCTTCCTCCTTCTCCTTCTTTTTCTCCTGGTCCCTGCACAGGGCTGCAGCTGCAGCCCAAGAGGGGAATAGATGTGATTAAGGCTGACTCCAGGCTCATGAGATTTTTGGCCAGACCCAGAACAGGCTTTGGCAGCCCCAGTGTGGACCTTAAGCTGCCTGTGAGACAGACTCTCCATCAGACTCTGCCCCGGGTGCCCTGGCACCAAAGCCGGGCCGGGCTGCAGGGGTGGCTGCTGCCAGCCCCCGCTCCACGCTCCTGCCACGGCTCTGTCTCTCCCTGCTGTCAGGCACCTTCCTCCCTTTTTCCCTGCAGCGCAGTGAAGAACCACAGAACACCAAGCACTAAATCCTGCTCCGCTGGCGTTTCCCCAATAAGG